TCTTAAAATCACTGGATAATTTAGGTAGGGACTTTTGGAGGTCATCTGGTCCAACCCCCTCTTTGGAGCAGGCCACCTTTGAAGCTGGCTCAGGTCACTGAGTTTTGAATGCCTCCAAAGTTGGAGATTTCACTGCCCCTCTGGGCCCCTGTTTCAGTGTTTGACCACCCTCGTGAGGAGCAAGTTTTCATTATTTAAGGAGAGTCTCCATGTTTCAAATTTGTGTTTATTGTCTTTTGTCCCATCAGTATCTAGCTGAAAGGACTCTAGTTTTGTGTCTTCTGTAGCCTACTGTGAGGTACAGAAACACTTCTAAGTCCTTTCTTTTAGCATTTTCTTTACAATACTCAACCAATGCAGTGCCTTCTGCTTTTCCTTGCACATCATGGGCTCCAGCCCCAGCCCATCTTAGGATCCATCCACCAAAACAGTTTCAGTTTCTTGATGTCTTTCTTGTACTGGAGAACCCCAAACTGAATTCCAGTGCTACAGGTGTGGTTTCACAGGTGTCAGATAGAGAGGAATAATCCATTCCCTTGACCTGCCAGCTGCAGATGTGCTGATGTCAGCACACAGTTCCTTTTCATTGCTGCAGGGACACGCTGCTGACTCCTGTATTGTGTTCACCCAGCCAGTACCAGCACATGAGGTGGTTTTGTACCGGGTTTGTGACTGTGAATTTGCATTTATTGAGCTCCATGATGTGTCTGTCATCCCATTTCTTCTGCCCATGTGCCTGTGGGGAAGTGACATGTCAGAGTGGGGTGGGTACAGCTCCATCCAAATGGCAAAACTCTTTATGAGTCAAGATCCTGTGACTGACCAGAGCAGATCTTGAAAAGAGATGTTTTAATTTCTGGTTTGAACTGCATGACAGTGTTCTTGAGGTCCCTGCTCTAGATGTATAAATGTCTCAAGATCAAAGGGAGAATTTTCCCCTACGATATATTTTCCAAGAAATTGTCATGGTACAGTAAGAGAATGAGTATTTCAGGCATTTCTTTCTTCCATTTCTGTTCTGTGTGGTCAGTAAATCACATGGATTCCCCGGAGCTCATTCTAGTTCACTTACTCATGCGGATTTAACTAAGCATCTTCATGTTTCTTAATTAGCTTAATAAATTAATCAGAAGTTCTACAGAGCAAAATCTAAGCTGAGCAGCAGAGTTTTAAGCAATGGGATGAGACTGGATTTATGTTTACCAAAACTGCTTGGTGCTTTAGTTGTCTGTGAAGGTAACTGAGATTAACGTTTGTGTCAACTGGTGCCTTGAGCCCTGTACAGGTATCAGCTCCACACAGCCCTTGGTGGTGTCACTGTCACTGTACAGGGGGGAAGCTGAGGCAGAAAGCAAATGCTGCCTGCCTGTGTCCACAGAGGAGCTGTGGGTCACACATCATGTGTCTGCCTTTGTTGGCAGACCTGGCAGTTTTGGAGCTGCCCACTTGCTAAATCTCATTGTATCAACATTTAAAACAAGGGATTAAAGAAGCATTAATGTTATCTACGAAGTGTGGTTAGAGTACAGAACTCCCCATACACCTGTTCTCTCTATTTAATTTCTGTTTTGCTCTCAAAGCCCTAGGAATATTATATGCAGTCCAGATTTTCTTATCTGCTGGATGTTTACTTTTTTCAGCCCCTTACAGGATCTGTACTGTATGTCTTTAGCAGTGGAAAATACAAGCTGAAACCACTCATTTTCAGTTGAATAAAATAGTATGACAATTGCCAGTGGCCTGATAAAGTCTTTGAATAAAGCTGTAGCCAATTTCTGTTTCAAACACTCAGAGGAGTCATTATTTCACTTACAGGCCACTTTTACAGTTGAGCACATGCTGTGTTGTGCTCTTTTACTATGTATAAAGAGGTCTTTGCACTCCTAGCTTTTCCCTTAGCCTTTTATGTCTTGATTATTTCCATGCGTGCAGGGTATTTTCAGTCTTCTGTGGTGAGAGGGCAGCCAGTCTGGGAATGCATCTTCATAACATCTCCATCACCACCTCTGATGTGTGTTCCACTGTCTGCTGATTTCCTGCAAGTTATTGGATCTGGGTCCAAATTATCTTGCAAAGACACAAGAAATGTAATTTTCGGATCTGGTCTGTTTCATCAAATAATTTCCTAAGCATTGGAGTCAATAGAAAGGAAGGAGAAAACATGGGAGCAAAAGGCAGCCTTTTAGGGGCAGCTTATTTGGCTTAAATTCATCTGACCCCAGCAAAGTGTTGGGTTGATGAAAGTCTGGAACAGGAAAACTTGACAGTCAGGAGGGAAGAAAGGTTAGTGTGACCATATGTGTGGATAATTTCTCTCTTCTTGGCAGATAAATTCTCTGTAACATGTAGTTTATTTAATAATGAGCATAGAACTGAGAATTGATGCTACCCACCAAAATCCAGTCATGATGTTTCAATGTCCTTGATACTTTGGGTGATAAGTAAAAAACCCTTAAAATCAGAGATTATGGCAGGACCAGAAAGAAGTGTTTCTGGCTTTCTTTTTCATTGTAGAAAGTGCAAAATGTCTGATACCTCTCCAAATTGCCTGTCTTATCACCTCACTTTGCTTAAGAGAGCAGATGCTGGTACAGATTTTGGTCACTCATCTCACATTAGGTGCTATTGCTTGGATCAGAGTCCTGCAGCTGCTACATGGGGAGAACATAACATATTTTAATAATGCTGAATTCTTGGTGGGGACCACTCTGATGGGAAGGGCCTGCAATTTGTTTTGTGGATGAAACTTGTGCACAACTTCCTGTTGTATTCCAGCCTCTCAGGTTCTTCCCCAATCCTATTTTCATAAATCTCAGATGTTGCTTGTAGATGTGTTCAGGACTCCACTGTTAGAAAGATTGTTCCTTTCAAAATTTCAAATTTCATCAGTTGGTTCAGCATTACCATAGGCAGTGCAGAAATGGAGGAAAAGGCTGGAATTTGATGATTTTGATCAAAGCTGAAACATGAGTTGATAGCATTGTCTTTTGGCATTTTTGTTTGACTGGTTTGTTTTGTTTTTTTTTTAATTTAACTCACCCGAACATATCTTACCACTTACTAATATGTGAGAACAGATATCCTGAGGAATTGGCACCTGAATAAGCATGTGCTAATGAGCTGCTGTGGTCTGTGATAGAAACGGTTCTTGAAGGAGCCTTGTCTTTTTACTTGAAAGCAAATATACTAATATCTCAGCAGGCACTGGGAAATAAAGCAGAATATTTGTTTTGTCTGTGTATTTTTTTTCTTTTGTGCTGCAGTTCTTATTTTACATTGTTATGTTGAAAGGATATAATTGGAGTAATATATTACAGGGCAATTGCAGTAATAATAGTGCTTAAATCTTTCATGTTTTTATGAAATCACTTTAATGCTGTTCATTGAGTAGTAGAAAGAGCTGGAAGTCTTGCAAGGAATGCAGAGAAATAAAACCCATAAAACCTGGCACAGTAAAAGACTTTCAGTACAATACGAATGCTGATACTTTAAAAATCACAAATCATCTTTCTATTAATTCACTGTAGAATAAGGTCTCCTCAAGATAAGACTCAGCAGTGCTGTGTAGTTGGTATTTAAAGTATGTCCATCTGCATCTAAACGAGTAGCTCCAAGACAATCAGATTATGCAGTAGTTACTTTGGTGAGAATATCGCCTAAGTGGAATGGAAACTTCATTTTGAGTCTAATATTAGACCCTGCTTTGGAAAATTCCTTTTAAATGATCACAAGCTGGGAATAGCAAAAGAATTTAACTTTCGACAGACAGCATTCACCAAGAATTTGTTTTTAACTGCTTATGTTGGGTCCCTGGGAAAGCAGATGTGAAAACTTACCAAAGTGAATTGACTTGACCTGATGCAATGTTTATATCAGTAGTTGATAAGTTTTCCTCCCTCGTCTAATTTGTTCGGGATATTTTCATTCTTTAAGCATGAGTAAGTCTGGGTTGGAATAGTTTGAATGCTTGTTAGTCTAATAATCTGAATCTTAAAACAGGCAGACATTATTGCCTATAAAGGGGTCTAAGCAAAGTTGAACTATTTTGGGGATAAGTATACTTTTTGAGACCAGCAAAAAAGAGTGTGAGATGTTGTTTATTACTTCCTGATAGTTCAGAAAGCATATTGATGTCTGTATATTTGTACTGCAAAATGCCACTTATATTTGGTGGACCCTTCGAATGAATGTTGTTATTTATGCAGCTTTACAAAGGGCTGGTTTTTCAGTGGTAGCTGGAGAAACTGGCAACCAAAGGTATCAAGGCCAATTTGAAGGGTCATAATGATGGTATTCTTACCATCATCATTCCTATGGCAGAAAAGACTTTAGGAATTCACTGTGAATGATGCACAGCTCAGGAATCTTTAGAACTACTGCTAGATCTCCTCTTTGCTTTTCTCTTCGTTGATCAGACAGTTGCTTTGAATATTTTAATTCATTACTTCCTAAATAAGGTGTCATCAACCCATATGGAGAATACAGAAATAAATTATTTTTGAGTAAGAGAGGGGAAAAAGAAGAGCTGAGGGATGGGGCTGACTTCTCCCTAGCTCTGTCCTGTCCCTATGCTTCTCTGGTTTGGTCATTGTTGCTGATTTTTCCAGGCTTGAGGAAAACATCTGTGGGATCTCACTGTAAAAGAGAGCTCCAGCCTGGCCTTCCTCTGCCAGTGCATGAGACAAGAAGCAGAACAACAAAATAATATGATGAATTCAGTGCCAGGGTGACAGTTTTGCATGGAAAGACATTAGAGCAAGAAGACTGAAATCTTTAGCTCTCTTTTAGGGCATAAGGTGGATTTATGTCATGCAGGAATGTGTATCTCAGGAATGAGATTGTGATTTTAAGCATCTGTTAAACTTTGCCTCTTTTTTCATAAAGCCTGACACCAGCCTTTTTGTCTTTTTATTTATACCTGCATGTCTCTACTTCTGCTATAATTTCTGATCCTTCAGAAATTTCTAAAATGTCTAAATTTCTGATCTGTCTCCTTGCAGGCAAGTCTCATCTGGCTATAGTGCAAAGAGTAAACAATGAAGGAGAAGGTGATCCCTTTTATGAAGTCCTGGGAATTGTCACTTTAGAAGATGTGATTGAAGAGATCATCAAGTCTGAAATTCTGGATGAAACAGATCTATACAGTGAGTAGAAATATTTGCAATTTGTTTATAAATGAGAAGAAAGACTCCATCTAGCAGCAATTTTATTTATAGCTGGTTTTTGAGAGATGTTATGTTGCTGATTTAAAATCTCAGTAGTCAAATTGTTGAGGAAGTTTCCTGAACAAAATGACCTGCAGATCCCTCAGGTGTTCAAAGTAATTTTTGTTTCTGCAGCATGGGAACCTCCTTCCCTTTAGGCTGTGTTAATTCAGAAGCAGGACAAGTTTCTTTATTTGATCCTTTTACCAGGAAGGTTTACACATGCAACAATCTGCTCTCTCCTGCCAGCTATTCACCACTGAGGTTTGTTAAACTTTTCATTGCAGTGCTCATGATCTCCCACATTTTCCCCTCTTGTCCCTCTGGCTCAGGGACCTGTAGTCCATGTACTACCATAGTTCAGCAAGAGGCAGGCAAATGCCATGCCTCAAGGAAGAGGAATGGGGTCTCTTAAGAATATCTGTCATGCACTGAGAAATCTTGAGAATGGAAAGTCTTCCTCAGGGCTGAAAACCAGCCTGTCCTAAATGCCTTCTCTTTTTATTACTCAGCACAGCTCCTTCTTTCTTTGTGTTAATGTCTCTTGAGGGAGATGATGCTGCAGGTCAACCATTACCTGGGACTTGAGAGATCTGGACCCTTTTCTTTCCCATATTAAAGCTTGGCCAGTTGCCCAAAGTGTCTGTTTCTCCCCCCATCTGCACAATCTGGCCTGTGCATACAGGACTTCCTTTCAGTCATTCTTCATCTGTCTTATCTGTGGTTTGATCACTTGCTGGCAGATGCTATTTTTCACTATGTGTTTGTGTGCAGCACAAGGATGTCTCCAGATTCTATTATAATAGAAATAATAATTTTAAGTATCTCCAACACTGTTCAGCTTTCCTTTGATTTCTTTCTCTTTCCTGATGGAAGGGATTGGAATGTTTCTACAGCGTTTTTTCAGGCCAACCCAAGCATCTTCTATCCTCCCTCCAAGCCAAATGCCCAATGAGCACTTTATACTGTGGGATAGACTTACTTGTTTTTGCCCGAAATGCTTTCAGTACCTAGTCAGTATTTTATGAGTATTTATGTACCCAAATGTTCATGTAAATCACAGTTGTGTTTCACCGTGTGCTGAACAGTCTAATTACTATGTAAATCACAGAAGTCCAGTTAGTATTGATTTCTTTTAATACCTTCACAAATGAATTGTTGGGCTAATCAGTTACAACATAATGCTTTTGCAGGCTGAATTCAAGCTTCCTTTTATACTCCAAAAAGATCCTAGATTCATCTACCTTTGAGATATTTACATGTGTCTATGAGGGAAGACACTGCATATGCTTTCAATTTCCCCCCCACCTTGTTTATTAAGAAAAAACACATAGATCATGCTATGTTGTTCTTCAGGACAAAAAAAGCTTTGCCCATTAATAGGATGTTAGAGGGCAAGGAAACAAGAATTTAATTTTAATTTTACTGCCTGAAGGCTTCCTATATTAACAAAATAGAGCTGGTGAACATTGAGTTCACTTGAAACTCTCCTTCCTGGGATAATTTTTTACTATTGAAAATTCCTCATTCAGAACAGGAAGGAAGCTTCCTAGGCTTCCTGGAGGTTGCAGGAAATTTCAGGAGGTGGCTCCTGCTAAGTACCATGAAGAGCTTCAAATTTCTTTATTAAGCACTGGAGATTATTCCACTGTTTAGACTGAAGGATACTGTAGCAGTAAAGAAGAGAGCAGAATTCCCAAGAAGCTGTGAGGATCACAGGAAGTGTGAGAGAGTTTGGGCAGCCAACCTCCAGTTGGTTTGGTGATGAGAACATGTATGAGAACGTGAGTTTACTGAAGGTACTTCATTGTCCATGATCAGCTAAGGCAGGTTATTTTTGGTATTGGTTTCACAGTGTCACTGTTAGTAACCCCACCTCTGATTCTGTTCAGTATTATAGATGTCTGGCTTGCTCAGCTCAGAACAAGTCAGCTTGAAACCCTTGGACTGGTTTGCTCTGTACTAGGTGTTTACTTTAAAAAAGAGCTTTTGAAAAATTCTGGCAGCATTATTACACTTTGTTCTGAAGTTTTAAAAATGTTTTGTTTTGCTTTGATGGAAACTTGAAATACGATGAAATGGCTGACCTTGTTGTTGGAGCTGTGCCTTTCTGTTGTTTCCATGAAAAAACATTTGAATTGTGTTAAAGTGGCAGCAATCGTATATTTACAGTTTTTGCTGAAAACTGCTTTCACTGCTGAACTCTGCAGCTGAATTTCTGGAGGGTGCCAAATAAATGTGTGGTATGTCTTCACGTGGCTCTATTCTGCTGTCACTTGCAGAGATGTTGGGAGCAAGGAGAAGAGACAGCAGGAAAAATTGTTAAATATATCTGACCCATCAACATTTGGGTAGACTGATTACTTCTGAGGATGAAACTTTGAGGATACTGAAGGGGTGGAGAGATGATGTTTCTGTCATGGCACATGACACAATTCAGCCCATGTTATGTTGAAGAGCTGCCAGTGTGTTTGGCTCTTAGTACTGGAAAGTTGTAGCATTTTTTCGTGGTTGGCACACTACAGGAATCTGTCCTGTGCTGCCATGGCTCTATTATGGTGGGAGAGCATTTCTCAGCTTTCTCAGATGCCCAAGAGAGAAAGCTGTATGTTCTGTGTTAGACTGCACAGACTGTTTGTTCATTCTTCTGGTCCAGGTTTGTCTGGTGGGCTGTCTTATTTAGCTCTTTCTACTTGAAGATGAGTTTTATCATCTTTTTGTCTTGTCTGGAGGTCACTGCAGATGTCTTCTCTGTCCCAAAGACAAAAAGCACAGGAGGAGAACAAGGACTTTACCCAGCAATTGCCTAGGTGCATTTGCAGTGCCTGTCAACCTGCCTGCCTTTCCAGCTGAATGGTTGATATGAGGTTTGAACTGCCTGTTCTGTAGCTGTTTCCAGTTCATGCAGGTTTCTTCGAGGAAATTCATGCAATAATTCATCATGTTATGCATCATGCATCAACGTTTAGGATTATTACAAGAGGTATCATAACTTTAATTTTGTTTTGACCACTCATCCTCTGGAGTTCTCTACCTCAGCCCAGAGTTCATGGTCAAGCTTGTTGCCTATGATATGAAGAAGTCTAAATATTCCCAGAACCTACTGAAGATGTTTGCAATATTTGTAGGTCTCTCACCAGAAGCTGTAGTGAGAGAATCCCTTATGCATCTCATTGTTCGTGTTGCAGAACCAGTTCCCAGCACTCTGTAAGCAGAGATCACTGCAGCAGACCAAGATAACTTCACTGCCCACATCTCCATCTCACTTACCAGAGAAAGGACACACAGGAAATACCTGGTTCAGATTCAGTTACATCGGTCACAATCCAGTCCTTGGTTCTTATGTCTTACAAGAAGCTCAAAAGTTGTTTGGATAACAAAGAACAATTTAAGATCATCCCTTGCAAAAATAAGCCAAGATAATGGCTTTAAGTCATGTGGCTCTGCTATAACCATGTAACATTTTTCTTCAGGGAAGATTTTTGGATAAGCTGCCAAGACAAAAATTGGAGTTGAAATTGCCCATCATTTGAGTTAGAGCCTAGGTCTCTTACCTTGATGATCTTTCTGTTATGGACAGAAAGATTTAGAGCATCTTCCCACTGTGTGATGCTGGTCTTGTTTACATGTACCAGTAGTGCAGTGTGAAGCCTGCAGTGTTACAGCACTTTCAAAGGAAAAGCACAGCTATTTCCCTATCCCAGGGCCAACACTTGTACTTGTGATTTTTGCCTCCCTGAAGAGAGCAATGATGGAGCTCCTTGTGAGAAAACACCTCAGATACAGTGCTTTAAAAATAACATTCTCTGAGCTTTTCAGGAAAAGCAGTTTCTATTCTTCTGATCTCTTACAAGAGATAGGACCTAGTGAGAGCTTCTAGGTGACTTTTTTCCAATTAGTTTTCCATTGCTTTGGTATGTATCTGTCCTTTAGCTTCAAGTACAGATAAGGTGTGTCTCCAACTATATTCCTAAGGCAGGGATTGTTTTTAGACTGTAGCCACTCCCTTCAGTGGTTTCTATTCCTGCTTTTAAAAGGAACTGCAATCTCTGATGTAGTCCAAGTCTTGGGTAAAGTACTGCTAGGGTAAGAGGCTTCTGCTTTCAAAGAAGAAAAAGGGCATGGGTCATCATTGTTCTTCTGCATGTGCCTGGGAACAAGTATCTCAAACTTTCTGATTTGCACTGCTCAGAGAATACACTCGATATATCTCAAATAGATAAATTATTGTCAGTACAGTATTGCTGTTAAGTCTGTGATAGTTCTCTAGTGGAGGCATGTTCCTGGGAAGTGAGGATGTACTCATGTCTAAAAGACTAGGTGACTTGAGAAAATTTAGAAGCCTGTAAATTACGGGTATTGTGCATTTCCAGGCCTCAGACTCAGCCACTCTGAGCCTAATGTCATCTGTAGCATGTATTTGGACTTGTAAAGGGCTCCAGATCTCAGTGGCTTCCAGTGCATCGCTTTAATCATCTTTGAATGTATAACTCAAAATCTGAACAAGTACCTGGGAGTATGTGCAATTTCAAAGTGTCAGCTTCACCTATGCCTCTTTGTGTGCCTGCCCATATCCTGTGCTGTGAATCTGTGTGCCTGTGGTCCCTCAGAAGCCCAGTCATGTTACACCAGTTGACTAAGTGGCTGATAGACAAGCAGCTGCAGGATCTTCCTCCTCAAAGGCCCTAGAACCTAAGCCATGTCTCATCTCTGAGGGGCTCACAGGAATTGGCTCAACACTGTGGAGCTCAGAGCCGTCTGATAGTATTCTGCTGCTTACAGCCACTGCCACCCTACATGTGGTGTCACCAGGGAAGTGCAGCACCCTGCCGTCTGAGCAGAGCCTCTTCTCCCTGGAACTGATGTATATCATACCCCAACATACCCATTAGCTGTCCACTTACCTGTTTCCTAAACATTTTTGGGGCATCAGCTTAGGGGGTGGATGGTAATTCCTGGGTTGCCTGTGTCTCTTTCATGTTGCCTTTCATAAATGGAAAATCCTTACTACAGAGCCTGTTTTAAGACGCAGATAAACCAACTGGCAAGTTTTTAGCTGAATAAAAGAGTCCAGGATCACTAGCAGACAAATACCCATATCTGAACTTCTGAAGCTATTCTGTACTTTATTCTGGCTTCAATACCTGTAAAGTGGCCAGAGATTCCCACCTCCAGGCTGTACACCTTGCCAGCTTTTTGCTGAGGTTTGGACAGGGCAAAAGAGACTGCATGTACCAAACATTGGGAATACTTCAGTCAAAGGCATGCAGATTTTGCCACAGCTCTGCAGAGTCACTGAAGCCAATGGTGCAGCAAAAGAAATAAGTCACTGTCTATTTCCTCTGTGTACGTGCAGGGAATTTTCTGAGGAATGTATATGTAGAAAATAAGTATCACAGCTATGCTTGTAAAACAACACCTTTTGACGTTTAGTAGTACTGAGCAGGACTTCTCCCCACCTGAAGTGTAACATGCAGAGCTGCTCTGCAGTCAGGTGTTTGCAAGTAGAGACTTTCCCCTGACCAAGGTGACAGAGATGTGACAGAGGCTGGGTTGCTTGGCTGTGCAGGACATTGCCCCGTGGCCACACAACTCCTGGTTGTCTGTGGTTTGGGCTGTGTGATGCTGAGCTGGGCTTTGCAGAGGGGTCTGCCTGCACCGTGTGGCCACCATGGCTGACTCTGGCCAGCGCGGTTCGTGTTGGACCTCGTTCTAACAGAAATCGCTTCCTTCCTTTCTTCTCCCACCCTCCCTTCCCCAGCTGATAACAAGACGAAAAAGAAAGTAGCTCATCGGGACAGGAAGCAGGACTTCTCTGCCTTCAAGCAGACAGACAGCGAGATGAAGGTTAAAATATCACCGCAGCTCCTCCTGGCAATGCACCGGTTCCTGGCAACAGGCAAGTGCGGGTTATCTCTGTGTGATCGTGCCAGAGCCTCGGAGGCAGTTTGTCAGCAAAGGCCGGTGAGGTGGGTGGGACAGTACAGGCGGGAAGGGAGGCTGGATTGTGGGGTGACAAATAATGCCACTGTTGTGTTTTTCTTTTTAAATTCTCTCCTCTCCTGTGTTCAGTGTCGGCATGAACCCTCTGAGACATATACCAGGGGTGGACCAGTAACTTTAAATTGGTCTGAAAGGTAAGGATGAATGCCAAGTGCCGCACTGCATGTCTAGAGTCCGTCAGATTAACGACTAGCAAGTACACCCCATTAGGAAGAGCTCAGGGAACAAACCAAAGAGGACTCGATACCACTGGCCAGCTGGCTGTAATTGCACTCTGGCGCCTTCTCCAGAAAGAGATGCTGGACTTTTTGCAGGAAGGTCTAAACCTGTTCCATGAGACTTTATGACTCCAAGTGAAAAACTCTCCTGACACATTTAATTCAGACTGCACAGGTGGTTGAACTGTACTCTTTAAAATGGATTTCTGTCTGGCTTGTGTGACCTCCGTTGATGACTTCAGAGGTTTCAGAGGACAGTTGTCTCCATCCCAGAACACCTTGATGTTTTAGCCCTTGAGTGGGCAGTCTGGCAGAGAGACCAGGGCCTTGAATGGTTTCTTGCGGCTGGTATTGCCTTTCGTCATAAACTCGATCCTTTCACCTCAGAGATGAGGCCTTTAAACAGGAGAGCTTGTGGAAAAATGCCTTCCTATTGCTTGTGCTGTCTCTCTTTGACATATAAAGACTTGCCACGTGCAGGCCTTTCAGACGGTCATCTTTCGCTGCTGTGTTCAACGTAAATTCGTGGGTGGAAATTATAAAGTTACTTTGTCTGAAGTTTGCCAGCTCCACTTGGAAGTTAGTACTTCCCCTCCTCTAAGATGCAGTAACTGCCTGCCTAGATGCTCCTAGTCTGTCTTCATGCTTTATTTTACCTCTGTGACTTGAAAGAAATATGTCCATGATCGGTTATCACATCTCAGCTGAGGGGCAGTAATTCCTTAGAAGGCTCGGACTCCTACGGCTCATGTGCACATGAGCGTATCCTTGGTGAAAGGAAGCAGTTCAACAGGAAGATGTGGATTTAACAGCAAGCAAGGCGTTGTTCATGTAGTGTACAAGATTCCATGGAGTTCCATAAACACCTGCTCAACAGACATAGTCTTACAGTGCTGCTTCTCTACTTGTTTTGTGGATGGAAGGATTGTGTAGCTTAAATACAGGTCTGTCGGTGAAGCCACTGCTAAAAAAGATGGAAGCTACAGTTCTGCTTTCTCTGTTCTAAATTGAGAATAGTTTCTTTAGCAGATGATGGGTTGTTAATGGTCCTGTTATGAAATGAGGTGTTGGGAAGGCTTGTCAATTTGCATGTGTAATTCTCATCGTCCCTGGCTTACCCACACAAGGATGAGCTTTTCTGCTTCAAACAGCTCCTGTTGGAAACACCGAAGATCAAGTGGATAGGGATTGTATTCTGTGTGCCAGGCATTAATCCCACATGGTTTGAATTGACCTGTACTTCTCTCACTTTGAGTAACTCTTCCCATATGAGCCATGGCAGCCTCTGTTGTGTCTGATTTGTGTAGAACATCTCTCTAAAGCAACTTTTTAGGCCCCAAGTAGTAATTAATTATTTTTTTATTTTAATCAAGTGCAATAAATTCAGTGACTTTAATAGCTTTTAGGGAAGGAAAAAACAATTTCAAAGGTTCTCTGTGCCCCAACAGTAAAACTCTTCTATTTATACAACTCTGTGACTCAGAACTCTCAAGAGGGCAAGACCATCTTTTTCTTTTCCCTTTCAGATGAAGACATGATTTTTGGTTGTTTTGAAAAATACTTCAGTAATGGAAGTTGAGGTGTTACTGTGTTTTTTCCCCTCCTTTTACAAATCTAACAGTCTCAAAAGACAGGAAACCTGCAATTCCATAATGGATCTCTCTGCATCTATGTGTCTTTTATAGACAAATGCTTATTAACGAGTATTGCTAACTTCTTGACAGGCATCCGAGATGTAATGCAAAGTTGTATCTTGTGTTATAGAAGTAGAAGCATTTGGTCCATCCCAGATGTCAGAGAAGATCCTTCTCAGGCTGCTAAAACATCCCAACGTCATCCAGGAGCTGAAATACGATGAGAAGAACAAGAAAGCCCCGGAACACTACCTCTACCAGAGAAACAAGCCCGTCGACTACTTTGTTCTCATTTTACAGGTCAGACATGTGATTGTGTAGATACGTGCAAAACCTTTTATCTCCTGATATAGCCCCCTCTATACCTGTTCCAGTTGTTGAAGTTTGTCTTCTTTCAAACACAGGAGGGGAACTATGGCTCCTGGGAACTGCTCCTGCCTCCTTTATGACCTTGCCAACCTTGAAGAGTTCACTCAGTTGCTTTCACCCTCAGTTAAGGCAGCTGTGAAGGATAGAAAGCACTTCCCACTTTCAGTCGTCTACCAAAAGTTACTTACTCTTTCAGTGTCCCAAGGATAGACAGTGCAAAAGAATCCCCATTGGCATTGCTTGGAAAATGGGGTGCAGAAAATGCCACTTCATAGGAATTTGGCCAGCATACTTTATCTGCTGTGCCTTTTCCTTTTGCAAAAGGAGGTGTGGGGAGTTTGATGGTTTAGAGAAATGACATTTTTCTGTGAAGTTTTGAAGTCTGTACCTGAGGTGTAGTGAGAAGCACAAGTTTCAGTGGGGGCCTTGTGCCATCTACTGAACTGATGTCACCTCCTGCTACAGCCTGGCAGAATGCAGACCCTGGGAGCCCTGCCATCCAAGCCTTTATCCTGCCCTGAGATCCCTGCACTGCTGTGACTTTTAGATTGGAGCCCTGGGTGGTGCGTGAGGACTGTGTTCTGTGTGTTCTGTGTAGGATTGCTTCCAGTGCTGGCATCTCCCAGGTTTTTTTATCAGTCAGGAATGGTTGAATGGTTTAGGTAAAGCTTTACAGAGAAATTTCGTTTCTATCTAGCACCATTTAAACAGGAATAGTCCTTTCAGAGATATTTTGCTGGAAATGTTCTTCTCTGTCCTGCACAAATGAAAATCAGTTTTGGTTGTAAAAGCACAGGCATTGTAGCTGAAATTTTAGCACACAACTTGAAATCTTAACATGGCCTTTAAAATAGAAAAGGGGAGGGCACGAGTTTAAACACTCTGTGATAAACAGCTGTGAGAGCACTGGGATATTATATTCTTATGTTTAAAAATTCCTTTATTTTTCCAAGAGTTTGAGTAGCCACTGGTAGCTCTTTAACTGTTCTTTCTTGCATGCTGGACTGAAATATTCCAACGGCAAGATAATCCTCCTGATGTAATGCTGCAAAGATGCAAATGGAGGACATGGGGATACAAAAGAACAATCAGTTCTTTCTGAGCTATTTTGCAATCAATAAGTATTTAGCAAACACAACATGCCAGGTCTATAATGTATTTGGAAAAGTGGGTGTTGCAGTAAATACATACTACAAAAATGGTAACAAAGTTGGTTCTGACAGGATTAAGAGGGGATAAATACTCTGCTTTTTTATTTAAATGGATTTGGACTTATTCTCTTACATAGAGGGACCAAGAATGCCTTCACAGTAAATGCATGCCAGTAAACAATTAAATGTATATTCTTCTTGTGTGTAACCAGTCTTTGGGTGACAAAGTGGTACCTTTTGGAAGGCTTATAATGAAGAAATAAGCTACTTTTGTGTTGTAGAGTGAAATTGGTTTTAAAAGAGATTTATATAAAGCTGTTGCTTGTGATAGCAGGAAAGTAGATGTGTGAGCTGGGCACTCTCTTCCTGCTAGGCAGATTTTGTGTTTTGTGTTTTTTCTCATCTGAGACAGATAAATTGACTTAGTATTGGGGCTCATGCAGGTTGAGTTCATTATCACCTTTTTCTGCCCTTGTCCAGTACTGTAAATTTAAAGGCATGATTATTTATTTTTGATGGGGCTTAATGAAATAAACACTTAGAAATAAATTCTACCTTTTGGCCTCATTTTCACCCAATTGTGTTCAGATGATGTTCAGTCTTCTTAGTACATCTGGGATGGGCAGTCTGTCTCCCCTTCCCAACCTTGCCAGAGGAAAAGAATTGCAGGTAATTATGTTGTTTGCCTAAAATTCCAAATTTTGTGTTGTTCAGCCTGAAAGCTGGATGAGATCTCTTCTGTGTTCAGTGATGTGCTGTGAGTCTCAGTGCAGTAATGATGGATGGACATGAAAAACACGCCCCACTAAAAAGACAATTATTTTTGTCTACTTGTGTACCAGAGTGACTGGGATGTTTTACAGCTATGTTCGATGTGAGTTCTGTTCGGGAGTCCTGTGTAGGACATAATTTTATACATTTGGTTGAGCCCACATCAGAAACAGATGTACTTGCATGGTAGTGTAGTTTTGTACAGCTTGGGAAGCACTGAGTGTCTTTTGTAGGCAAGACTCTGCAAAAGAGCAGGATCTTAATGGTGCTGGAATCTGTAAAACTGCTGGAAATCAAGAGCAAAGTAGCCCCAAGGCTGCTCCTTCAGGGATAAGGGCGTTATTTCTGTGGGAATCTCATCGGTGTAGGCAGCCAGCCTCCTCACACATTATCTCCCATCTCCCTTCCTGTGTTTTTCTTAGAGGGAGTTCTGTGTCAATGTGAGCTGTGCCCCAGGATGTCTAGGTGCTTGAAGATCCCAGATGACTGTGCTACATTTAAGCTTGTTGTGCTACTGCAGGAATATTTTTTCACTTTGCAGTAAAGGAAAACATCCTGGCAACACTTGGAGCAGGGCAATAGTAACAACCCAAAGCTTTGTGGTGATCCTGATCCTGCTCCTCTGCAGAGACTTATGCTGGCCACAAGGCATCAAAGACCAGGCTAGCTCTGGGCACAAATGCCTGTTGCCTTTCAGGGTCTGTGCCTGTTCAGGCTTTGTTACAAACTGCAGGGACCGTGACACTGCTTAGGGATGTCAGGCAAAACTACCTTTCAGGGCTCAAGTCTGATCTTGTGCCTTGAGACCCATGGTCCCTTTTAATTGCAGCTGTCTCTCCTTTTCCTTAACAGGGGAAAGTGGAAGTGGAGGCTGGGAAAGAGGGGATGAAGTTTGAAGCTGGTGCTTTTTCCTACTATGGGGTGATGGCCCTCACAGCATCACCAGGTATGTCCTCTTATCTTCTGCTTCTGGAACAGTCTGAGCTCCTGCACAGGTCTGCCTAGCTGTGTCTGTGGGGCTGATGGGATTGGCACCTCCTTGCCAGCACAGCCTGCCACAGTGTCCCTGGGGGCACTGGCCAGTGGCAACGCTGGCACTGACTGCAGAACCCAGCAATTGGCAATGGTTTGCCAGCTCCCAGAGCGAGTGTTGACTTTAGCGAGGGATGTGGTTGGTACTGGTGGAAAGCTTTGTAGTTTTGCTCGTGGCAGAGTAACAGGGAGTGAATTAACGGGAATAAATAATTAGTGGCAGAGGGACATCTAGTGGTGCTTGGAGCAACCGCCCGGTTAGATTGGGGATGGTTCTTTAGCAGTCTGTGCCTAAAGCTGTCTCAAGAGAAAGGATGGAGCAGTGCCAGGAAAGCAATTGCTCCTGTTCAGCTTGTGTGAAAATGTACCTGAGAAATCAGTAAGGGGGAAGAGGTGGTGTCTAAGGGTGACACCAGCACACAAGTGGTAGCCACATGAGCCACCACCTTGCTGGCACAGGTCAGGGAATTCTCATATAATCCACCAAGAGTTGGCTCCAATGCTACATTTCAGCATTTGGTGATGTATTTTACTGCCAGAAGTGTTACCACTTAGATCTTGACCTCAGCTGGAAATGTACAGCCCTGCTGGGTGAGCTGGGGCACTGGAGCTGGTGTTGGCCTTCTGCTGACACAAAGCCACTTTTTCAGCTCCAGGGAGAGATTTTTCTCATGCTGAAATTGTGTCCTGTCACAGCAGGGTTTACATTCCACTTGAGAAGCAGCTTGTGTTAACTGTACACTCAAGAGTGCTCTCTTTACATGTGTGCACCTGTGTGTATGTACACTATCAAATGGTGGTGGAATGGAAGTGGTTTTGTGAGTTATGAGTGTAACCTTGTTAGACTCTACAATCAGCAGCTGTTCTCTGGACCTCTGTGAGCTCACTTCTACAGGCAAGAATAATTCCTTAATTATGTGCACTTTAATTTGGTCAGTAGCTTTTACTTTTTGAGACTTGAGAAATTTTAAAGCATGCAGAGCACTAGTTGGATTTTATCTCAGTAATAGCAGCTATGTTCATGAGGAATTGGGACCTGTGTACAACTGCATCATACCCTCAGCTTCTACAATATGGGCCAGGCATGGAGCCAGGGTGATCAGGCATGGTCACTTCTACCAGCCTTACACTTGGAAATCACCTGTGGCATCTCTGTTTTGCCAGCATTGTTCAGTTTGAATGTTTACATGTGTTGTTGAGTTTTGGGGTTGGTGGGGGTTTTTTTGTTTTTTTTGTTTTGTTTTTAATGTTCCTAACCCTCCTCACAACCATGCCAGTTGCCCCAAGTCCTATCAGGTCAAATGGTCTCCTCTTTGTGTGCCCCGAAATCCATCTTTAATTTTGCCATGTCGCACTTAAGAAGATGCTCTATTGTAAAGTAATCTTGGCCATTCTTGAATTTGCCTTCAATTGGTTGGCTTTGTTCTGTTTTTTTTACCTGCAGCAAATCCTTCAGTTTGTTGGCTTTGCCTCCAGGTTCCAGGAATTTATTTTATGATGTCTTGTGGCATCCTGAGATTTCTATTGAGATGAGCTCATAAAAATAAGTTCCTGTTGCTCTGTGTAGACAGGAAAGCTCAGGGAAAGTATAAGTTATTGTGGAATGACATAAAACTACTCCTCTTCTGTGTGTCCCAAATAAACTATACATACTTGCTCTCCCCACCTGGAAGATGAAATCACTAACAGGAGAGTAAAACACTAAAACCAAACAACAACAACAACAAAAAAACTCCACAAACAAAACCACAGAAAATAAACAAACAAACAAAAAAAAGAAAATAGTGAAGCTTTTTTCTTTAACTACAGCTGGGGAAGGATTTGCAGTAATGGTGAGCAGTACAATACCCATCTCAACAGGGATGAGCTTGGAGAATCACGGCCTTGCTTGATATTTTACTGGAAACTATGAAGTATCTTTTGGTTTTATTTCTGTTATTTGACTCCCATAAGGAAGAACACCTCTGAATGTTTTCTGGCTTGTTTTGATTCTTACTTTCCAGGCTGGAGTGGGCACCCCTGCTCCTTTTGAACTATTTCAAAACACGAGTGTACCTTGATGGACTGCTTGGTACTGGATAATAATTTAAAATAGCAATGAAAATTATTCACTTCAGTCCAATTCCTTGGTCTTGTTTTTTGGTTTATTTGATTGTAGATTTTGGTTTTGCTTTTGTTTTAACCCTTTGCTTTTTCACAGTTCATTTGCAGTTCTGGTTTTAGTTCATCAGTTTGTCAGCTGGCTCCTTCCCCTGTCGAATGTGGATAGCTGCCACCTTTCTGGTCGTGATCTCATCCTTTTTCTCTCCCTCTTCTAGTTCCCTTGTCCCTGTCTCGTACCTTTGTTGTCAGCAGAACAGAGTTGTTAGCAGCAGGTTCTCCAGGTAAATCTGCATGCTTCTATTTTCACCATTCTTGTGACTGCCCTGATGCCATGAAAAGTCAGCTGCAGTCTGTATTTGTCTGACCCCTTTGCTCGTTAGGGAGAAGTCCAGCACAGAGTTGTGCCTCACAGGTAGGTATCCTGAACTTTTGTTTATGATAACTGGTCAGTTATCAAAATGGGAAGAACTAAAAACATGTTTAAGAAAATGTATCTGGTAATGTGTGCTTGTTCTTTTTTCTCATATGAACGCTGGTGGAAAACCAAAAGGGGAGTTTTTTTAGAAGAATGTATTCTCCCCCAAACTGAGGCATAAAGAATTCTGAGGAAAATGTGTTTGGCAGAGGAGAATGCCTGCTGCTAAACTGCCATAAAAGGAAAACTTATTTTAAAAAAGTATTCTATATTCTCTTATGGGTAAATTCTATGGTTTGTATACAGTCTGGTCATTTCAATTCCTGGAAAGCTTTGAGCTTTCTCTCAGTGAGGTTAATACCAGGGACTGGCACAGTGATCTGCTGAGTGGATGGATTTGCAGTGGAATGCACAAGAAGGTTAGGAGGATTTTCTGGTTCCTGTTGTGCTTAAGACATTTCCTTACTGTATCACCAAGTTGACTGGCACAGAAATTCTTTTAGAGAGCAGAGACCAAGAAGGGAACAAACTGGGCCAAAAAGAGCTCTGAGACGTGGTTGAAAGATTGTTGATTGGGAAGCATCAAGAACTGAGCTTTGCAGACACTGCATGCATGGAGTGGTTGGGAAAAACTCAAACCCATCAAGAAAGTCTGTCAGAAGAGCAGAATCCTAAAATAGTTTGGGCCACAGTGAGCATATGTCTTCCTTTTGAAGTTTTTTCTGGTTTTTTTCAGTCCTTCTTCAGAACTAAAAGCAAACAAGATAATGATATGCATATTTAAGTGAAACATCTCTTAAACATTAATACATCTCATGCATTTTATACACTTTCACCATCTGCTTTCTGTATTTCACCCTCTTTCTTTAACTTTAGAAAATATATTTCATCGTTGGTCCCTAAATTATCTTCATGCACATTCTGAGCAAAATATAGGTTGTTGCCTTGCAGGGGATTTTTTCCTGCCTCGTTAAAGTTTCTTGCTGCTAAACACCAAAGAAGGGGGAGAAATTTAATCTTTCTTTAGTTGAAGTACCTGATGGTTCTCCTTTAAGCTTGGCAACCTTTATTATCTTTCTTGGCTTGGTTCTTTTGTTTTGCCAGGTCTTCTTTTTTTACTTTTATTTTTCCTTTTCCATTCTACAAATAGATACACGCTTTGCACAGGTTGTTTCCAGTATAAATGCCAAACATACTTTCATAGCTTTTTCCCCAGTTAAATTTAAAAAAATTACAAATATAACAAGGGGAAATAATAGTGAGAACAATCTCCTTTGTAAGGAACTGATAGTGGAAGCCTGGTCACTGTGGCAATGTGGTTCCAGTTTTGATGAAACACAGACCTTTTGTGGGGTGCTTATGAAAATAATCCTGTTGTTTAAACACAAATTCATAATACACTTGTACTGATGTCCTTTTTGTGGCTTGTGCTCTTTATCCCCTTTATAGAAAGGTGAGGAGTGTGGGAAAAGCTGGGTAGAGAAGCTCTAACATGGACTTGCCTGGTGTTTGTCATCTGTTCTTTCTGTACCTTTGCTCTTCATTATCTTCTCCTTCCCTGAACTAAATGAGATCCAGAAATCATGTTGTTTCCCTCACATTTTCAGAAATCATACCTTTTTGTTCTGTCCTTTTGTGTCACCTCTCCCTTTTTCTTTTCTTATAATGCTTTGCCATGTTGGTCTATATCCTTTGCTTTTTATTGGTAATGTACTATAAGGTCCCTGGTGGAAGGAAAAGGCAGATGCAAGTCACACTAGTGTAAAGTTGTTCCAGATGGAAGCCTTTATCCCAAGCAGCAATGATGCTGTTATTGTCACACCGAGCCATATTTTGTGTATACAGAGAGGTGGGAAAGAGGACAAATTCATTCAGCCTTTACAGTTCCTTGTTCTCTAGTGGGGTTTTCAGCATCAAGCCCTGTGTGCAGGTAGAGTTTCTGCTCCTGGCAGCAGTTATTGCAGTCTGCTGTGGCTTTCAAGTTGGCACAGAGGAAAACCTTGCAAGGCTCCGAGTGCTTCCCCCTAAGCCTGCACTTGGTGTTGCCATAGGGTCCTGCACTAATTCCATAGTGCAGAAATGGTGGGGAAATTATCAAGTTGCCAGAACCTGTATTTTTTTGTCCCCCTTTTTAAAATTGCAAGAAAGACAAAATCAGAAGTATTTTAAATAGGGAATAAGAATCAGGGCAATTCTGTATTCTAAAGTGTTAGGTTTAGGAAAGGCTGGATTCTGACATGTGGAACAGGCTGTGTCATTTGATCAAGGAGATATTATATTTCTAGTGATTAAGTGGCAGAGGTAGGGTTAAATTTAAGGGAGGTTGTTGGGATTTTTAAGAAATAAAATTATATGTAGAAAAGTCTTCAAAAAAGAATTTGAAAAGCTTGTAAGGATATTTTTGTGGATTTGCTCAAAGAGACTTTGTATCTTAAGACTATATGAAAATGATCTTTCAGCTTGAGAATGGGGATCATGTGGTGAGTAGCATAGTTTACATCAAGTTTGAGTTTGGGCTGGCTGAATGAGTTTTAAGTGCATTAAGATCCAAAAATTCTCTCATCCTAAAGATAGTTCTTTGATCAGTATGTACTGTGTGTGTGCCCAGGGAGCAGCCCTTCTGCAGGAGGGCTTGGAATCTCTCTTAGGATGTCTTTCTGCCCCCCTATCTTCTGGGTCGCTGTGTGGGTGGAGGCCACAGATGCAGAATGTCTGTGCTGTCCCAAAAGCACGTTTCTTTTAGATAGACTGTGTCCAGTCACACTCACAGGGGACAGCTGCAAGGTCTTCAAGTGAAACCCTGCAGGACTTAAAGGCCAGTGCTGGAAAATGATGTCTGTGTTGTTTTCCTTTCCTGGACATATTTTTCTGTCTAGTGTGGACTATTTTGCCTGTGTCACTGGCTGGCATGTACTATATAGAGTTTGTTTTCCTTCATTGAGGTTTGGCCACTTCAAGCACTGAGAGGAAATGTTGAAGTAATTGTCATGTGCACTGCACTCTAGTCCACTGAGGACTCTGTTACTCCTACTGAAAATATCTGCTTTAGCTCCGGGAAAAAGGCATATGTAGGTATCAGACGAAATAAAAGGGGATAAAATTCAGCTGGGATTGACTGTGGATGAAAGTAACAATGATTAAGACAAAAAATATATTAAGCATAGTCTGACTATCAAGATCTCCTGTAAGGGAGCCTTGGGAAGTTCCTTTCTGTGGTGGTTTCTGCTCATCAGCTGAAGCACTGTGTTCTCAGGGCATGTCTGTTGCAGCATAAACAACTACAGGTTTGTTTAGGGCATGCTTAGTGATGCTGGCTACTAGCTCTGGACTGAAAATGTACCATTTTTCAGGATAATTTGGTTGTTTAGCCACATATCTACTTATGAATTGATTAAGCATTTGCAGTTGATTTGTGCTACATCACCATTTATTATGTCCCTTTGAAACTGATGACTTTAAAAGTTTTCTACTTGATTTAAGAGATCTCTTGCTCTTGCCTGTTTCTTAGCTGAAAACAAGTCTCCACCTCGGCCCTGTGGCTTGAATCACTCAGACTCTTTAAACCGGAGCGATCGCATCGACGCAGTGACCCCGACGTTAGGGAGCAGCAACAACCAGCTGAATGCATCCTTCCTCCAAGTGTATGTTCCAGACTACTCAGTGAAAGCCCTCACAGACATTCAGTTTGTCAAGGTAGGAAAAAAGCTAGAAAGGCCCTGCTGGAAAGTCGGGTTTGGCTGGTAGGATGGAGAGCCTGGGGAAGGGAATTCCCTCTAAATTCCTCAGTGAGTAAATAGCATTATGAAAGCAGCTGTTTAAAAATTACTTTAAACTACTTTTTTTCCAATACCTGCTGTCCACTGATTTGTCTTCACTGTTCTTCTCATTTGGACTTGTAAGTAGGTTGGTCACATAATTTTCTGGATTTCAGGTCCTTTGAGGAAATATTTTAGAAAATAACCTCTGCTTTTAGTCAAATCTATCCTTGTGAAGCTTTTGGACCCATCTGAAATGGAGACCCTTCATTATCAGACACTGTCCTTTTCTAAAGGATGAGACATTTACTGTTGGTTGCAGTTTTTATTCACTTCTGATTTTGGTTTCAGTTTGGGGTTCTTGATCTTACTTTCCGACTTGCCATCCTTCTTCTGCTTGGAGAAGTCTTGGACATTTCTCTTTATCTTAACTTCACATGTGTTAGGCTCATGTCTCATACTACCAGTGAGTTGCTGCATGAAATACAGCTCTGTCCCCAGCATGGTGCATCCCACGCTGAAATGTGTGCGAGTCCTGTGGGAGAGGAAATGTAGTTGAGCTGAGGAACAGCTAATGCTGGCAGCAATTCCAGCCCAGCTGGGAGTCCAGGAAGCTGATGTCCCATGGCCAGAAGTTGACATTGATGCTTTTCTTAAATTAAGTGCATGTTCACAGTTTGTTTGTATGCAATTCAAGTGATTTGTGAAGTTAACTTCTGTTAGTTAATTCAATGTCAAGAATGTGGAATAGGGTAGACAAACTAGAATGCTTAACTGAGTATTCCATATCCAAATTTTAAAAGGAGAGTAAAGTCTTGCTTTGAGATGCAAGTGTACTGGTCAATGGTTCAATCCTTCAAAGATTATATCAGTAGATACTTATCACTGGGCAAGTGATTCTCACTACAGATTTCAATGGCTAATCTGCTGTACAGAGCAGCTGCTCTCACCCTAGGCTGGTTTATGTGGAGTCCTTCCAAATCTCACTGTGTTCATACTGAGGCTAATGAATGTTAATGAAACTGTCCTGGTATCTCTACAGTCAGACTTGCACACCTCTTCTTGCATCCCTCTGCTTTACATGTAGGTCAGAGTACTCAACATTACTGTTTTCACTGTGCCATATGGTCATTCATTCAATTAATACCTTGTAAAACTACTCATGCATGTTTGGATTTTGCTTTTGGAATTGTAACCAGGTCCATCTGACTCTGTCCATTTCCAGTCCCTCTTCTTGTGCTGCTACTGAAATTTTTGGTTTTCTAAAAGTCATTTCATCTCTTCCACCTTCCTGCCTGCCAAGATCACTCACTGCTGTGGGCTCATGGGGCTGCCAGTGCACGTGTGTCTTGCTGCCTGTCCTGGCTGAGAAGGTTGACCTGGAGGAGTTCACAGGGCTGGTTGCTTGTGGCTCCAAGAGGAATTCTGCCCTCCACCACCACATGCAGATATGTGGGGCTTCCCTGTCCCTGGGGCATCGTGGGTAGTGACACTCTGTGCTCTAGGCCAGCTCCTGTCATCACTGTTCTGCTGAGTGCAGACAGCTCTTGCAGAGACCAGTGGAAAACTTCATGGGTTGCTAATTTGGACTCATCTCTGTGGGCATACCAGTGTTTTCTAGAATCAAATGTCTTTATGTATAAGGCTGTAGCTCCTGCTGTGTTTGCTGGCCTAGACAAGAGCAGCAATGCTTGTACTCTATACTTGTACTACAGAGCTGGCTTGACTCTATAGGGACACTTAGAGCCTCACCAGGAGCTCACTGAAGTTGGGAGAAAGACTTCACTGATCTCTGGTTCTGGTCCTAAAGGTATGCATGGTTAGAGGGAAATGGAGGTCTGATTTAAAAATCTCTGCATAGGAATAAGTGCCTGCCTTTGAACAGCATGGTGATTGCACAGCACTGTTCTTCCACCCTCCCTGGAAATGTCACCATGCTGTGGGTGTTGAGCTGGGATGCTCTAGGCTTGCAAAGCACAGGGATGTTTTATGGAAACAGGTAAAGAGGGGTTGAAGTGTGGTCATCTGGAAGGGGAGGAAACTTTGTCTTCTCAGTGTGCTCCACAGGAGACATTAGAAGTGTGACTGACTTTTTTTGTTTCTTCCCTGTTCTTGGAGCAGATCTCAAGACAGCAGTACCAAAATGCCCTGATGGCATCCCGGATGGACAAAACACCTCAGTCCTCGGACAGTGAAAACACTAAAATCGAACTGACTCTTACGGAGCTGCACGATGGTTTGCCAGACGAGACAGCAAACCTGCTGAACGAACAGAACTGTGTGACTCACAACAAGCCCAACCACAGTATGCACAGTGAAGGAGCCATCTAGGAGCTGACTCCCCACAACCCACCCATCCCATCTCCTCAGCAGGACCAGCCCTCGCTCCTTGCTGCCTCCTCCCCGAGTGTGAACACCGCTAGTGCGTGCTTGCAACACTGCTGCATCCAGTGTTCTGAGACCAAAGACTTTTGCGTCCGTTCTGGGAGCAGAAGAGGAAGAAACAGGAAGAAAGGAGCAAAGAGCAAGAGAGACTAAAGACCCAAACGTAATTTGGGAATGGTGAGCCACCCTTGAGAACAATGAAAATTCTTCTTGCAAAGTAGAATTATGTTTATTTTTTATCTGTACTTTTGATCCTTATTGGGTTTTTCCTCCTCAAACACATATGGGGAAGTTTAAAAGCTCCTCCATTATTTTTTCAAGAGAGATCATGTTTTTAAAAAGTATTTTGCAGAGTTTTAAATTGTTTCTGTCCCTCATGAACCTCAAATGGGCTCTGTCATGGTTTTGTAAAATGGCTCCAAATGTCCTTAGGCCTCTTCTCACCCCTGTGTGGTCCTTTTTGTTGCCCTGTTGAAAAAGTTAGTAACTGGTACTTGTATGTTATTTGTGTCCTAAGAATGAGCAAGCTTCAATTAACCTCTGGTTTCAGCCACCTGGAGGACCAAGACATGAGGATTATTACATTCTTGCAGTTAATTTTCAGGGAAGGAGTGGTTACTTTGGTATTTAATAATGTTTCAAATTTCAGAAGGTTTCTTTGTTAAACAGGCAAAAGCATTGTTACACTTACAGTTTTGTAACCTCCAAAACCTTTGTGTATGTTGAAGATGATACTGGGGGGAAGGAATTAATTAGCAAAATTGCAGTCTGGTGAAATGAAAGCCGGGTATGATATTCCATAGTGAAGTAACTGGGTGATTTTTCATTGATGTTCTGACAATTGCATGGTGAAGTATTGTGTGCACCGTGAGACGCCGAGTCTTTAAACACTGCCGTGCTGTGTGTGCACCGTTACCTTGGCCAGAGCAGATGGTCCAGCCTTTACTGAGTATGAGAACATCAGTGCCTGTCCCCCCTGTAATCTCTAATATTAACACAGAAGTTGCTGCTACAGTTACACCCAAAGTACATGCTCCAGGTGACATTAAACCTCTGCCAGTGCAAGGATGGGCGCTGCTGAGGAGCCAGAACCATCCTCTCCTCTCCAAGAGCTGACAAAACTTTCCAGACGCGAGTGTATTGCACTTCAGGGATTCAGAGAGGTTCATTTCCAGGCTGTTCCCAGCCACATTCATTCCTTTGAGTGGATTTAGTGCATTTCCTTCTCTCTTGCCCCTTTTAACAGCCATTGTAGGGATTACCAAGGTAGCAGAGCAGAGAGCCTCCCAGCCGTCTGCCACCAGTGCAGGGCAACACCTGCCTTGGGCAGCAGAAACCAATTCCTCCACCCCAAAAACCTTGATGCAGAGTCAGTATCAGCAAGAGGCATCCTATGGTGGTTGAGCATCACCCATTTCCACAGATGGAGTCCAGGTCCTCAAATTAAAAACAAGAAAGTTGTCCCCTTCAGTCCTCTCCCCTTCCAATGCTGTCTCAAACAAAATGTGAACATTGTCCTCAGTATCTGGATTGATAAATCAGGCTTTGTGGTTTCTCTGTTTCAAGACCCTGCTATGACCCCTGGCTATGTAGCATTTCCCTTTCTTTGTGCATGGATGATCTCTTTGGGGATACTCAAAGAAGCCCCCAGCCCCAAATGCAGCTTCCAGAGCTCTCTGTGCCTGCAGGCCTGCCCCTCCTCTCCTGCTCACGGGCTGTGAAAGGCACTTGCTGCAAGTTCCTGTGGTCCATCTGTGTGCTTGGTGGCTGGAAAGGTGCAATATTCCATTGCAGGATCTCCCTGTGGGAATTGGAGTGTGTGTGGTGTCAGAACCAATTGGGTTTGCCTCTCTCCCTCCTCCTCCTCTCTTTTCCAGCTTCAGAAAGCAGCCCTAATTTTTGCTGTCCACCCTGGTGGGAGCCACCCATGAGGATGAAGTCCCTGCAAAGGACACAGAAATTGCACAGTGTCCAACTTGTGCACCCAGTGAGGAGGAAAGAGGCCCTCCAAAGCCTTGCTCTCACATGTAGCTTTTTGACTTTTTCCCATCTAAAAGTGTTTCCTTAGCCTCCATCCCACCCTTGCTCTGATGTGCACCAGCCCAGTACTGCTGAGAGCACACGGCTTGGTGGCAGCATGGGCTGGCCTAAGCCTTGTGCCTTCCCAGAGAGCTGCCAATATTGCACCTTTCTCACGGAGCAAAATGTCCAGATGTTACAGCGTTTGCAGTTTTTATCTAGTGTTGCTGAATGTAAAAGTTTGTTTGACACGGTGGTGAACTTGAGATGCAGTATCCGTTTTGTCAAACCTGCCAAAGGAGGGAAGGCTCAAGGCAGTTCTTTCCAGGATGAGGTTGCTCGCTGGATCTGACTTCTGCTTCTTATGGCAGGTTAAGGATTTGTTTCAATGTCTGTTTCCCTTTTTAAAAAAAAAAAAAAGAAAAATGCAAAAAAAAAAAAGCGTCAATTTTTCCAACCAAAGCCATGTGATCCCAAAGCAAATACCTCCTGCTTCTGCCCATGCTGCACTGTTCCAAAATTTGCAGGCAATTTTTTGCATGACTGTTTTTCATCATTTGTACAGATCAAATAATGGAAAGTGAAGTAATTTCACTTAATTTCCATAAAAAACAGTTGATTATAGATGTGTTTCATATGGAAAATACATACCTGACCCAGAAGGGTTAGGAGCTGCTACTACTAATTAGCTTGAAGAACAAAGCATGGTCTTCTCCCTGGAGGGGAAAAAAATCCAGTCTCCCTGTTCTCAGGGTATTTACAGTTTTACTGTTTAACAAATGCAAGGGGTTCCCAGCTCTCCTGATGGGAACCATCACAACAGAGGAGCCCCGTGCCCAGCTCAGGATTCCTCTGAGCCTCGGGACGGCTTTTGCTGCTGTCGGGCTTGGCTCTCCTGACTGCAGTGGCGGGGCCGTGGTACCTGATCCGTGTCCTTGCAGGGGTGTCCTGCCCGAGCAGATCTGCCCCCTCTGCCTCGTGGGGCACTTGGGTGCCGTGCTGCAGGGCTGTGGGTACACAGGGCCGGTCACCACAGCGCAGGGCACCAGCTGGTGGCTTTGGGAATCGTTGGACTTGACCTCAGACCTTGGCCAGGCTTTGACTTGTAGAAAGGATACTGCATCTTCCTATGTCAACTCCTGCTGCTGCCTTTGTTCCCCTTGCCCGTCTGCCTCTGGGTGCAGGCAGCAGGGTGGATGATGGCCTGTTGGCCGGGGGAGGCTTGGAGGGCATCTAGCCATGGTTTCTACTGTCAATACAATTTTGCACAAGAGTTCTTTGAAGTGAGGTTTTCAACACTAATATCTTAAATGCACAACTGTGAATTATATCTTTTACACTCCTGTTGGTTGAATTTCCTTTAAATGAAATGAACCTGAATCTGTTGTAACTATGATTTATTTTTTTAAATTCTGTGTATTGCCAAATCTTTGTAAAGAGTGAAGGAATGTTCTTGCTTTCCAGTGAGAATCTTTCTCCAAATGAGACTGACTCTGGTGATGTGGAGATCATATGAAGCACATTAGTTCTGAGAGGAGAGGGGCTCGTGGAGTGCTTAGCCTCAGCCACTCTGTGCAGCAAGCTCAGACCCTTCAGAGTTTATAAAGTGCTGCTTGTTTGATTCCCAGCTTGTCCACTCCCTGAAATCCCGGTGCAGCTGGAGACTGCTGCCCTGGAGGAGCTCTGGTTAGGTTATCCCACAGTGGAATGAGGAATGCTGGCAGGGTGTCTGGGCTGGCTGGTTTGGCAGGAAAAGGTGCTTCCCCCATCTAGATGTATCAGGAGAGAGGAAGCTCCACAGGGCAGATCCTTCTGCTCCAAACCTGTATTATGTGTAGTTCCCTCTCACATTGTTTTTGTCCCTGTAAGTTCCTGCTTCAGACTGAGCAGGAATGGGATGATGCTGAGACCTGTGTGGGGGCAGCTGGAGCTGGCTGCTGAAGGTGTGCAGTTCTTGGGCCTGTTGGAAGAAGGGTTAGCCACTCATTCACATTGTGCTCGCTTTTCTGTTCCTCCTCTCTTCTCCTGGACTTACTTCCCTTTTCCTCACCACTGGGGGCTTTTTTGTTTGTTTTTCTTCTTTTCTTTAAGTGCCTTTTTGTGTGGGTGGAGCTGGCAAGAGTAGGAGTCTCAGAATAAAGCTCTTTGCACTCGGACCTGGAGAAAGCTCAGGGCTAGCAGTGCGAGTTGCCCCGATGGCCCACACACATCAGCCACTGCTGCTTCTCAGCCTTCAGGGCCCAGCTTTGATGAGGATGAGATTTGGCACTGGTGGTGTCAGGCTCTGGTTCAAATCAGCCCAAAGAAAACCAAAGAGGCAGCTTTGTGTGAGGGACTGCTTGGGCAGCAGTGGTGCTTCCTGTGATCTCTGCAGAGCTCAGCCAAGGGGTTGTGGGGGTGCCCATGGCAAAGAGCTGCTTATGCATTTATCATAAGCATCCTACACGATGGGGAACACAGCCACATTTTCCAGGACCCCTTGGAACTTGCAGCTTCCTTGTGCAGAATAACATTCTCTTTAGAAGTTATTCCCACATGAGAGATGTACCATATTTTATACAATATCTAATACACACATCTGTGGTTTTAAATCTAGTACCTGTGTACCAATTGTCAAGTTACCTAGTGTCTGGATTACCAACAGAAAACTGGGGCTGGGGGTGGGAAAGGATGCTGCAGAGTACCTCTTGTGATGCTGACTTGAGGCTTCATCCCAAAGGTGCCCACCCAACATTGAGGGGTCCCTGTGTCCACGCTGTGCCCTGTCCCAAGGCAAGAACCCTGGCTGTGGTGTGGTACAGCCCCAGATGTGCTGCCTGTCCCACCACCTGGCTCTACACTGGGGCTCTGCATAGACCCAAAGAAGTACCAGTTCCCTGGATACTGAGGGTTGGTTTGACCCAGCAGTGAAAAGATGAGCTTAACCAACACAATCAGGGATCTTTCCATGGCACGAATGGGAGAGCAGCCTTCATCTGACTTAGCCAGCAGGCAGGACAGGCTCTGCATCACAGACTGGGCTGGGCAGCCACTCTCATCTCTGCACTGCTGTTACACTTGGTCCATCAGCTGCAGGTCTCTTGTTGGTGTGATGTCTGTGGTGATTCTGGCCTCGCTCCCATGTGTGGGCAGCAGAGGGGACCTGGACATCCATGGCTTCCTGCAGACCCCCCTCAACAATCCTGCTTGGTGTCTTCCTCTTGTCCTGGAGCCTGGCTTCATGCTGGGTTATGTTCCTCTGGGTTCAGTCTCAGGGCTGCATCCAGATGAGATGCTGTTGCTGTGGGTCCAAGGCAGTACAGCTAAGCTTTTCTATCTGCTTTTTTTCCTGAGCTTTAGGGATGGGAAAGGGTTGCTGGAAATCTGGCTCCAGCCAGTGGCATGGTACAGGTGGCAGATGGAGTTGTTTGGTAGGCTGGTAGCACTGAATTCAGTCAAAGTGACGCTTTCTTATTGTTGTCCTGAGGTCAGACTCTATATCAATTCTCCACGATGGAAATACGGTACTCAAAGCTGCTGGTCTGTCTCCAGCTGAAAAACATCATTCTCCTCTCAGGTTTTGCCTTTGGGCTCTATTTTCCTCTGAGCAGGGCTGATCACTAGGATCCTGCAGTGGATGGTGCCCTAGCTGCTCTTGCTCATTAAGTGTAGATTTCTGAGTAAGGAAGTGCTTGGTGTTTGATCCTTCCCCAGAAGCAGAAGTTTGGCTGGACTTGGCAGAAGTGGCCTGTCATGGAACTGGGCTATAGGTTTGTCAGCTGTTGTAAGCCTGAAACATGCAAAGGCTGCAGGTGGCTCCAGTGTTCCAGAGGTGGATTTGATTTCTTTGTTTTTCTCTCCTCCAGAAAGCAGTGTGGCAGTTGGTTGGTAGCAGGATTTGCTGGGGAGGAAGGGCTTGTCCCAGCATTCGGTGCTTGGTGTAGCAGTCCAGCATCCTTTCTCAACTGTTTGCTGATCACAGAGCTTTATCATAGGAGGTGATGTTTTATCCTCTGGGCATCACTGTTGAACCAAATCCTTCCAAATAAAAGTGAAAAACTAGTTGGTGTCAGATGCCTTTAGTTGGAAGTGCCAATATGGAATGCATGTCCCAAAGATTACTGTGGGGGGTGTGAGGGAGTCCTGATGAGCTCCTCTTCTCAGAAGTGACAGACTGGCCAGGCCAAGATCAGCTCTAGTATCATTCCTGCTTTAAAATCTCAGGTCCAGCAGGCTGGGCTGGGCTGGGCTGGCTTGGCTGGCAGGTTTTCACCCAGGGTACGTGCTCTGTCCTTCTGCATTGTGCTGGCTTGGATTCAGCAGTGTGGCTTCTGTGACAGCTGTGTTCACACTGGCCACAGCTGCTCCTCTGCTCCACTCACCGGCCTTTAGCTGAGGGTTCAGGAAGGTGAGAAGGAGGGGCAGCAGTCAGGAACAGGCCATGCTGCAGCCATTCTGTCTTCATTTCTCACACTGAGCGTAGGAGATGCTGTCCAAGGGACTCTGCCTTCCTCGGAGATCACGTGGAATTTGGTGAGTGGAAACCCACCAGGATCCCAGCAGCAGTGCTGTGATCCCATTTGATCCATGATCTCCTGAGCACAAGGATGGTTCAGGGTCAGGCCCTGCTGAGGGACTTCAGAGTTTTTGGCATATTTTTTCTCCAGCAGAGCCAGCCTTGACTCCTGAATCACCAGGCAGGTGCCTGGATGCCAAACACAGTGACTCTGAAACCCCAAATATGTGTTCCTGGAAGCCCTGAGCAGCTGGTGCTCAGCAGCCAGAGGTCTCACACCAAACCTTTCTCCTTCCTGGCTGCCCTGAGCCCTGTCCTGGTTGCTGCTGGCTTGGCCTTGGTCCCCCCATTCCAGAGCATGGTGGCTCTCCCTTTGCAGTGCATTTTCATGGCTGTCTGATCCCACTCCAGCCAGCTCTTCCCTGTGTCTTATTTGCCATCATATGTGGTCTTTACGAATTGTATCATATTGTACATGACTTCGGGTTTCCAGAGTTGTAGTATTCTGACTACAGTATTTCCGTGTGTGTACATAAACCTGAATAAGCACAACTGAAATCCTGAATGAAGTGTATACGTTTCATATACTGATTGTCATACAAATTAATTTTATAATTATTCCAATTTTGTTGTAGATTTCCAATCTTTCCTATTTATTTTGTACCAGATTTATTTGTATATTTTGTGATTTTGTTTTAAAGCATTTTGTTTATTTCTATTCTTTTTAGATAAATGATGATTTTTTTTTTCTGTTGAACATTCCAGTTTATGCATTTTTCCCTCCTCTATGCTCCCCTCTCATTTCCAAGGGGCAGATTTTGGCATGTGGGTGGTGGGCTGATGTCTGTGATCCTGTACCCAGATCTCTGCTACATTTAACAGTCTTTAATCTCCACTTCAGCTGCCAAGAGCCACAGAGAGGCCAGATCTTGTTCCTCTAGAGGCAGGTGTTGCTCTTCGCTTTGGTGGGTCTGGGCCTGTAAGTCCTCAAACTGGGGAGGGCTGTGCTGGTGGCTTTGCTGATCAGGGGCTGGCTGGGAAGCTGGTGGCAATGGCAAGCAGCTGACTTTTTGAAGTTCCCTCAAGGGTGAGGGTCTTTTTCTTTCAGTAATAAAAACCCCTTATTTACAACCTGCTCTCCATAGGTCATGTTTGTCTCGAAGTGTAGATGGCGTCTGTGGGTTGTGCGTGCTCCTGCCAGGCGGGGCGTGACCGGGTCTCCAGTGAGGGATGTGCCTGGGGACAACGGCAGCTCCATGGGACGGGTGAAGTTTGGAGGAGTGAGTCAATCCATCCCCCTGCACTTGGGTGCTGCTGCCTTCTCCCCTTAGGCTGGGGTTTTGGCAGTGGAGCCGTGTGGAGCCTGCAGGAACAGAGATATTTCTGAGCAGGAGAGCAAGCCTGTGCTTAGTCCCTTGCCCACCATCACCTCCAGCTCACACTGGTGGAGGAACAGCCCCTTTCCTGTGTGTCAGATACAGCCCTGCCATGTGCCCATACTGTGCTTCTGCCCTCCCTCAGCCCCTCTCCTCCTCACAGCTCTTCCACCCAGCTGCTCTCCCTGCACCATGCTCAGCTCTTGAGCTGCCAAGCCCTGGCTGGCAAAATGGGCAGCACAGCTCAAACCATATGGGGATTTTTGCTGCACTCAGTGCAGCCTCTGTCCCTACTTCTGTGCTGCAGGATGGCTCCCCATGATGGACAGAGTGGCAGGTCCTTGAGGACTCCTGTTCCCTGTGTGTGCCTGTCCTTGGCAGCAGGTGGAGGATGGTGGGATGCTACAAGCACGACATGAGTAGAATTAATGGGGAGGGCAACTTCGGGGCTGGCTCTGGTGGTAATGAGCAGTAGGAAGGAGGAGCAGGATAGAGAGAGCCCAGGACTTCTGGAAGGGAGGGTGTAAGAGAGCAGATCCTTTCAGGGAGGTGGAATGGGTTTTGGCTGCTAGGTCCAGGCCGCTGTAGCAGCAGTGCCCAAAGCTGTACCCAGGGCTCTGTGTCCTCAAGGCTCCAGCAGTACCTCCTGCCATGGCCAGGCTCTGCAGCCTAGTGCCCCACAGGGCTGCTGTCCTGGAGGGAAAGTGCCCTTGTGCAGATCCAGGGTAGAGCAGTGGCTCTGCAGTTACAGAATTTCTTTATTGGTGTTTGCTGTGCTGGGGCTTCAGGCCGGAGGTTGGAATGGCTGCTGCTCAGGGACTGGCACAGAGCTTTGCACCCTCCATCACAGTCAGGCATATCCTGGTACCGAGCTGGGCTTTGCTGTGCTGGGTGAGGAGGTGCCATAAAGGAAAAGGAGCTGGGAGCAGCTCTGATAGCTGTGACCTGGTCAGAAGTGGCAGTGCCCAGCCCTGGTGTCTGCAGGGCTGTGGCTAAGAGCCTTGGGTTCCTGGCGCTGGTAGGTTTGGTTCATGCAGCCCCTGTGAGCCCTCTCAGGCTCTATGGAGCAGGGAAGGTGGTGGGGAAAGTGGAACAAACCTGAAATCAGGTCAGTGAAAGCTCGGGGGAGATCTGTTCCCCCCATGCTTGCCTTGCTTCCACAAGGCTTTTGCTGCAGGAGAGAGAATACTGCTGGCAGGCAAAACCAAAGCATGTCTGTCCCTGGGCTGGGGGACAGGTTGGAGAGAGAGCAGCAGGAGCTTTCCCTGAGGCCCTGCAGAGTGATTGGTGACACAGGCACTGCCAGGTCACCAGCTTCTGGTTCAGATCAGCCATGGGCTGAGGAAGGTGTAGGCTGGAAACTTGAGCTGTGACTGTGTCTGCAGTGCCAGCCAGGGCAAGAAGCTTCACCCTGGCTCTTGGTCTGTGGTTACCTCAAGTTCATGGAGAAGCCAGGATGGATAGGATAGTACAAGGCCAGGCAGAGCCTGTGTGTCTGTCAGGCTTTGCCCGACATTTTCCCACCATGAAGTGAGGGTCAAATACTTTCCATTGCTCCAGCCTTGAAGACTCTTCTCCCCAATCTCAGTCAGAAATAGCCCTGGGCTGGGAGTGAGCTATTTGTGGTGACCGATTGGGAAGGAGGAATGCATGGAGCTCCCCAGACCTCCCTTTCTGCGCCACATGCCTCCCCCAGCTGCTGAGCTAAAGCTTAAAAAATTCAAGTAGCTATACTTGGAGAAACAAAGTTTAAACATAGCTGAGCCCAGCATGGCCTTTGGTGAAAGGGCTCGGGAACAGCTCCCTGGAACCCTTCCTGCAGCCAGCCTCACTGTGGGTACAAGTTAGCTCCTCTCCAGACCCCAAAACTGAGGCGTCAGGGACTCAGTGCTCTGGAGTTTTCAGCAAGCCCTTAAGTGTCGAGTGTTGGCCACCAGCTGTTGCCATTTATCATTCCTTTTCTGTGTGGCACTTTGGACCCTGGTCCTGAATATCCTTCTGTGGTGGTGCTGATGGGGGGACCTCAGGTCTGGTTTGGTTGATGGTGAGGAGTTTGTTCGTAGGGAGGGTTGAGCTCAGCAATGCCTGGGGTTGCCTGTCTTAGCTGGGCACAGCCTTGTGTGGCTGTGTGGGTGGCAGCCTTCCTTAGGTATTCTTGTCTATTTAAACAGTTTTGCAGCTCCTGGTGAGCACAGGCCATGCTGTGCCTTGCTGCCACCCTGGCCATGTGTCTTGCAGGGGCAGAGGGGCAGGAAATGGTCCTTGGTAATGTCTGTGGAAAACAGCCCTGGCAAGACACAGTGCTGGAGGTAGTGGCAATGTAGGGATGTTCCCCTCCCCACCATGAAAAAGCCCCTTCTCACTCTCTGTGTCCAAGACAAAATGTTTCTCTGCCCTCCCCATGCTTTCCTGGCTGATGCAGATGGTGATGACAGAAGCCTCATGCCCCACCATTGCTTCCTGGGGCAATATGAGGACCTTACAGCAAAATCCACTTCCATTGCTCCTCAGTGCTTCACATGACCAGTTCCCAAAGATGCTCTCACTGTTCCCCAGTCGCCCATCCTGTTGGAACCCCATAGACCAGTCTCATCTCTTCCCACCAACTCCAGCACAGCCCTCATCGTCTCAGCAACACACCACAAAGCACCAGGCACTTCTTAGAAACATCATTTATTGACTTGAACAACTGCCACTGGAGCAGCATTTTCCTGCTCAGATGTTGGTGATGTGGTTTTTCTTCTTTTATTCTCTACTAAGGTACTTCAAAATGAAAAAAATTAAATGAGTTTATGGTACTGAAACAGCAGTCAAATTCATTACAAGAGGGCCCTCGTTGTAATCCCTTTGCAGCGAACGGCAGAGGCTGGAGTAAGGGAGGCTGCACCCATGACTCAGAGGAAAACCACAGGGCACTGCTGCCCAGCTGTATGCCAGTTCCATGCCTTCCCTGGGCTGGCTTTCAGGCACAAGGACTACCTGCCCATCCCTGGACACCCCCGGTCCCCACACAGCAGCCGTCCCCCTCCTTGGCCAGGGACGCAGCCTTGCCCACCCCGGCCGGCGATGAGGCTCCGCTTGCTCCGCACCAGACCAAAGACCAGGGCAGCTGCTGGACGGCCGGGAGCTTCCCACTCCCACCCTGGGGCTGGCCCTTGGCCATGTGCTGTTTCCTAGTTAAGGGCAGGCCTATGAGGCCTGCAGCCCCCTGGCACAACAGGCGCTTTTACTCCAGATGGTGGCTGGGGTTGGTTTTGGGATGCTTCACTTAAAGTTGAGAGGACAGAAAGGTCAGGAGGAACACAGAGTAACTAATGTAATGCTAAAGCAGCAGCTTCAGGCTCCTGGGTTAATATTTACTGCTGAAACTGGAGGAGTTGAGAACAGAGTGTGCAGCTCAAATGTTTGAGAAATGCCCTGGAAATTATGTATCACATGCCAATGGTGAAAGAGCTTGGAGACACTGGGAGAGGGTAACAAGCAGCTACAAGGTGAAACGGGTATTGCAGCAGATGTGCAAGAGCTGGAATCTCACTGCCAACCATGATGGCTGGAGGAGTCAGACCACTTACATAGAGAAACCCACATCAACAGAAGGTAAACTGAGTGCTGGAAGGCACAACACCACCCTGGCTAACATGGGGAGGGGGGATTACGTAACCCAGGAGCAGAGGATTAAGGGCAGCAACCTAACAGGCAGCAGGATTTGGATTATTTTGTCTCCTGCAGGGCCCAGCACATCCTGTCTGCTCCACAGAGAATGTAACAAATGCCAAAAACCGTTCACAGGACACTGCTCAAATGAAAACCAAGTGAAACATATCATAGGAAAGGCAGAAACATGCAGCATCCCAAAATGTAATGGGAGTAGCATGACAGCACAGGCGGGCAGTCCAATCTGAATGCACCACCCAGTTAGAATCTATCAGCTTTTTGAACCGTCTGCAAAACTGAAAACAAGGGTCTCCTCCTAATTAGTGTTAATTTGTTAGAAGTTTCCAAATACTTTCAAAATGTGCCTTTGCAAGAATCACACCCCCCAACCCATCAAACCAAGGGCCCCAACAACAGAATCCATTCCTGATCACTGCTAGAGTCATGGTTTATCTTCAGAAATACTTGTTTTTTTCCTTCTTATTCCTCTTCCTCCTCTTCCTCCTCCTCTTCCTCTTCCTCATCATCATCTTCATCGTGGCAATGTGTGATTTCCTGAGGTGCCTGGGGGAAGAGGTTGGGCGGTTTGATCTCACTGATGGAACGGGTCAGTTGGTGCCGCTTGTAGTCGGAATCTTTGAAATCCACCGAGGTGCGATTGCGTGTGGCCATCGGTGACTCCTTCTCATTGATGTCGACGTGCGTGTGCTCTACTGTGGACTCGTGTGGCATCTGCACATGGAACAGAGAGAGGAGGTGACAAGGGGTGTCCCAGTCCCAGGCTGCTGAGACACATGGAGAGCAAACCTCAGAATGTGACCATTTGGTCTACAGTCCATCAAATGTCATCAAACCCTCCAAGGTGCTGTTGCGTCCTGTGGAAGTGATAATGGACACATTATCACTTTAGGGACCCCTGCTCACCTCCCTGAGATTGCAACTCACCAGAACGTGGGCAGCTCTGAAGAGGTAGCTGAAGGGGTAGTAGAGGAGGTTGATGAAGGAGGCTGCATAGAGGTCAGCGTAGCGCATCACCTGGCTGGCAAACAGTGTCTGCCGAGAGCCGCTGCGGAAGAGGCTCCCCATCATCCCATAGCACATATCCATGTCGTGGGTCACTTTCTATGGGGAAAGGACAGGTTAGATCCTGGGCCAGGCAGGCAGCACCTCAGAGCCACAACACTGAGGCAGAGCGCCCTGAGGGCTGGGGGCTATGTGAGACCTGCAAGGATCTCCAGCAAGGCTTTCTGTGCTTGTATCCCGTGACATCAGAGCACAGCTGAGCCCCAGGTAACAGAAAGGAAGGTGGCAGCAGGCTCAGGGCCAGCACTGCCCTAAGCTGGCACCCCAGGGCTGGCTGAACCAGAGGCTGCAGCAGTGAGCACCCTCAGCCAGTGCTGCTTGTGGGCGTAAGGAAAGGGACCCTATTCCAGACCAGGCTGCCTTTCAGGAGAGCCAGTGACACCAGAGAGCTGAGACAAAGTGGCTTTGCCAAGCCTGCTGTGCCCACCCAAAGGCAGAGCAAAACATTTCAGGACTGAGCAGTGGGGTTGGGTTGTTAAGCCCTTTGGGATCCAGAAGGATGAAAAGGGATTTTGATGATTGGTACCTTAATGCGTCTCTGGATGGAGCTGATGTCGGGGCGTTCATTGCTGCTACTGTCCAGATGCCTAGTTACAGGCGAGAAGGTAAATACATGGTGTGAAAAGTCTTTCAGAACCAGATGCTGTGGGATGGGGCTCAGGGGAGGGAGGCTGGTCTGGAGGGGAAGGTTGGTCTCGTGGGCAGAGCCCAGGCCCGAGTCAAGGCTCCGGCAGCAGTGCCATTAACCCAACCCCAAGGTTTTGTCATTGCTGCTCATTAGCTGGGAGAGGCAGCAGGAAAGTTGTTTGAACACTCACTTGTACAGCTCAGCCAAGAAAATGTCCAGACTCTGCAGCTCTTCAAAAAGGGCTGGAAAATCCAGAAAAGAAAGGGGAAAAGGGTAAGTTTAAACTGTTGAAATGAGAAGTGCTGAAAGTGAACTTACTCCCCTGCCCACTCCCCTCGCATGGCAGCAGAGGGGCACTGGAGCAGGGACACTGTGGACGCATCTCATGGCAGGGAGAGGAGTCAATCACATTCTGTGCCATGGGAAGAACTTTGGGCTTGCTTTCGGGTTGGCCCTTTTGTTTTCGAGGCTGAACCTTTGCAGCTCTCACCAAAGCCTTCCAACCAGCCATGGGGCAACTTGCATAACCCCCAGCCCTATTTACACACCAAAGGGCAAACCTGGGAGAAAAGCAGGAGCGCTGGAGGATGGGAAACACACAGCACTTTGGCGGCAGAGCAGCAGAGGGAGTGGGAGGAACGAGGAGGAAGCAGCTGGTGAATAGGGACTCCCTGCAGATGGGAGAGCAGTCATGGCTCAGGCATTACAGGGAGAATAACCCAGGTATTGTCAGATATTTTTTAACATAGAAGCCAAAGCCACAGCTCCAAATGTGAACAGGGGGAGGAGGTTCTGAGGTTATTGATGAGGAACAGCTCAACCCCACCCAGCTGCAGCTTCTCCCGTGGTCAAGGCAGCACTTGGCTGATTACACAAATAGCCTGAGAAAGAGCACAGGAAAGGCCTGGGACCCCAAGGCCAGCCCACAGAGAGGCACCCCAGCTCCTGCCACCAGCATCCAGACCCAGTGAAAAGGGCCAAAAGGAGAAGTGGCAAGCCAGGGTGATCTCTCCCCTGCACCCCTAAGCCCTGGCGATCTCAGGGGTGCAGCATCAGACAAGCAAGAGCAAAGCCTGGCCAGGGGCTTGCCCGGCTCCTGACCGCTTTTGTCTGTCCAGACGTGCAGCTCCTGCGCCAGCTCGGGGATCACCAGGAAGGTCCGCCAGCCCTGGCGTTTCTTGGATTTGAGGATGTCTCCAAAGATATGGTCTCCGATGTACAAGATATCCTTCCCTTTGGCCCCCAGCAGGTCACAGACTGTGTCCGAAGAGCCTGAGAGAGGAATGGCATGGCTCAGAACAGTGAGCCAGAACAGGTGCATTTTCCTCCCAGAAACCTCCATCGCTTGACCATGGCTGTCCTGGACACTGCTCACCTGCCTGGGAGTTCACCCAGAAGAAGCTTTTGCCTATGCACACCCCTACATGAAAGGCAGCAACAGAAGCCTTGCTGCATCCCCTACCATATGAGAGTAATGGAGCCTTGGGTGTCACGGACAGCTCTGTAGCCACCCACTGTCCTTCCCTGGCTTGGCAGAACCTTCCAAGCGTGTTCACACTGGTGGCAGCACCTTTAAGTACAGCTGGGGACACTGCACTGGGCCAGCTGCAGCCACCCCTCCACCACAAGCCCTGCAGGCATTTCCCACACCCTCTCTGGCAAGGAAGAAAACGACATTTGAGGAGGAATGGGCCCATCTCTTCCCTGCACTGTGCAGCTCTGATCACGGAGATCTTCTGCTGCAGTGTGCAGAGGGCACAAAACAATGCACTTTGGGAAGCACAACCTTGCCTGGCTCAAGTTCGCTCACAGCTGGAGTGGCTGAAGGTCAGAGCCACTCCACACAACAAGAAGGGCTCCTGCCTCACCTCCCGAGTACACAATGCCGTGCTGCAGTGGGCCAGTGTAAGTACCAATCTTCAGCTTCCCGGTCACCTGTGGAAGGAGGTGTTGTGTTAGTGCTGAACTGCTGATGGTCTGGATCCTTTCTATATTGATACCATTGATACATCACTCTTTGTCTGTCTGTCTCACTCCCAAGCAGCTCAGAGGTGGCTTTCCTACTGCCACCTGCAGTATGTTAGGGAAGCCAGCAAAGCCTTGAGGATCATGATGGGGTTGCTCAGGAATCACTAAGAGGAAATTCCAGCCCACAACCTCTAGAGTGGGTCCTGTCGAAATGCTGCATTGCTCGTTGTCCCTGAGAGATGCCATAGAGAAGGTGCAGGAGCCCTTCCAGCCACGGAGGAACCTTCCACTGACCACTCACCGTGTCCACTTGCCGGAGCACAGTGCCTTCCCCAAAGAAGAGGGGTTTTCGTGCATCCACCAGGATCAGGTCGAAGTAGGACTGCCATGGCCGATGGGCACTCCCAGGCTACAAAGGCAAAAACAAACCCCAGAATCAGGCATGACACAAAAAATCACAGGGAGTTTAACTGGAATGCCACTCTCCATATCCATAACCTTGTGACACCGCTGGTCCATCAAAATCCCTTAGCTCATGCCTCTTGTGGGACAATGCTGGGTTGCCAGCACCATCTCCTAAAGCATTCCCCTTTTGCCACAAGCCCATCCTAACCCAGTCCAAGCAGTGGGGGCTGAGGACATGGTGTGAGACAGGAGAACAGCACTGAACATCCCTGTCAGGGCACAGCTGCCATGTAAAAAGATGCTGTAAATGACACCCTGCCACTGTTCCTGAAGGTGACATCCTGCACAGATCCAGACACATGCAACTCCATGGCTTCACCTTACAAGGCCATGCTGTACTTTTGCCAAGAGTGGGAAAATGCCTGGACTCTATTCCACAGAGCATGGCTTTGAATCACAGCCCTGCCCAAAGGATACTGAGCCCTTTCTGCTCCATGCTTCACACTTTATGAGATCAAGACCACAGCAAGGGGCTTCTTTAGCTATCAGTTGTGGTGAGTGTCTACAGTCTCAAATTTCCCTCCTGGCTGCCTTCTGCTTTTAATGCAGTGTGAGAACACATCTTTTGAACATGAGATAGCCTCTCACTGGGAGACTGAAAGAGCAGTATAAATTTGTATCATAAACCTTTCTCCAAAAGTTGCAGGGCTGAGTTTTGACCTCAGAAAAACAAACAAAAAAAAAGCATGATTAAAATTTTTGAGTTATGATAATTAAGGCACAATCAGCCATAAATGTTTCTGCTCTTTTATTAAACTACTTCCTTTCCATCATGGCTCTTTTTGACAACATCTAAACCACTCTGCATTATTTCTAAGAAATCTGGCTACAAAATGCCACAGTTGAAATGTTTTATCACTGAAATAATGTTATCATTAGCACAGATTATCATTTGAGACCAGATGATACCCCTTTTCCCTTTGTTATATTGTATTTGCTTTGATCCCATTCAAACAGGACACAAAACAGCAAGTGCATTTTAACCAGATTAAAGCAACTAATCCCATGCAGAGGATGAAGCAGGATTAAAATGCTTTCTAGCTACACAGATAATTAGGCACATCAGTGTCTACTGCAACTGCAGTCTAGAATTCACATACCTTTGGTCCATGTGGAAAGTCAAACAAGTAAGTCATAATTTTCTAAAAGAGAGAAATAAAGTATTCAAATACGTGCTTTTAAACATGCATTTGTGTAGTTTATAAAAGCATACTTTTCTGATTTTTATCTTTCGGATTACAGAACTTTATTTTTAGAATTTACACAGAAGTCAGCATAAGATTTGTAGACAAAATGAATGGAACAGGACAATGATTGGAATCAAACCAGTAGTTTTTATAATCAAATAACACAGTTGGGTTATTTGAAAATTCATTATCAGAAAACTGCACACTGCTTCAGGAATATCTTGCAACGCTTTAAAATGGCATATAAATCTTTGGATTAGCAGTGTTGCCAACATCCTGATATTCACCTGGAGCTGAAAGTAACCGTGTTTATTTATCAGCTTAGCAGACAGCCCCTTCTGGGTCTCAGACCTCTCCAGGATCTTGGTTTGGTGACCTGTCTGTACTCAGACTATTTATCTCACTTGAAAGGGAAAGTCTGCATTTTGAAGGATGCTAAAAACCAAAACTGAGTATTACTTTCCCTTACAGCCTTTAAATTGCTGAGGAACTGAGTGAAGCACAGAGGAACTTAAACCAGGCCTGTACTAACTCAGTGCTAGAACCAGGACAGCAAAACATGACTCAAGACTTCATCTGCATCCACCACTAACCCTTCCTACACCTAGATTAGAAAACACACTCTTCTCCACCACATGTCCCATCAAAACCCATCCAAACGACTGGCTGGCTTATGCTCATTCCATGATATACCAACCCAGCAATTCGAGCAGCACTTACATCTGTGTATTTATAGTCGCTGTTTGTGACGAGAAACACCTTCCCCACTTCATTCATGCGGCTGAGCAGCAGTGGCAGCTTCCCCTGGAAGCCAAGGGGAACATCCAAGTCACATACAAAAGTTACAGACATTTATCATGGGAAAAACACTCAACTATGATCCCACCAGACAAAAACAAGGCAAATCAAACCATCGAGCAAGCAAACTCACGTGTTGTGCACTGGCCAGAGCCAGGACAGCTGCTGATCCATCCAGGTAACCCCTCCAGAGCACAGCCCAGGGGAGGAAGGCGAGGGGGAAGGGCTCAGCAGGGCTGCAGTGCCTTTGCCAACCACAGTGCCAGGCACCCTGTGCTGCTCCCACCGATCTGCTCCAGCTCCAAGTCCGTTCCCGAAATGGGCCCAGAGGCAGGTGAAATCTGAGCTCACGAGCCACAAGTTGGAATGCATTATAATTCCAACCTCAAATTAGGGAGAATTTATTCCTGGGGCTATTTTTATTGAATCTGAAATCTCAGTCCATTGCCAAAATAGCTGATTACCTCACTGAACACTTACCTAAGAATTCTGTAGGCGTGTAACTAGAAACAAGGTTAACTGCTTTAAAGTGATAATCTACCAGAGAGCTCATCTAAACTAAAAAATACTTACTCCATAAGTGGTCCAGAGGGGCCTTGCACACTGAAGAGGTGGCAGGAGTAAGGGAACCACTGCAGCTTGCTCAATTAGATGTGCTGAATACACATTTTGGGATTATCAAGAGACCAGCCACTGGTGAGTCTTTCAGGATCTTTCCCTCAGTCTCTCATGGCTAAGTGTAACTTTTTTGTCATGTGGCTAAAAAGATGCTCTACTGTTGCTTTTTATAGAGAGGTTTGCTTAGGCAAAAAAACATGGGCAGGGAACACAGTTGCTTTCACCACTGAAAGAAACAACATGAGCTTTGCCAGTGTGTTCACCTTGATAATATTTCCTCTGGCTTTTGTATTTTATGTATAAAACTATGCACATAAATACAAAATCATATGGATCACTGGCTCAGAATAAAGGCTGCATCTGAACTTTCCACTTTGTCTTTGGTTATTACAATAGAAATCACAGCCTTATCCGTTTTGTGATTTAGTAAAGCAAATCAGCATGTTTATTTCTTGCCTGCTTAGTCAGTACTGAATGTCACATAGCACAAGTAAAGTAACTTCACACTTACATCTTTCACCACATACTTCTCCAGATTCTCAAGGGTCTTTTCCTTAAGTGATCCCTGAAATAGAAACAACATAACCCAGTGAGGTCATGGAAACTTATGATGTAAGAGACAACAAAGTAATGCCAACTTTCACACTTTAAAATGCTGTGAAAGTACAAACCAGGGCGAATCTGAACCAGTGATTCTAGAGATGAGAGGCTTTGAGTAGCAGGGACCATCACAAACTCTGTGATCCATCGATTCCCTCACCATGGTAAATAATCCACTTCAACAGCATTTTAACCCTTTCAGAAGGGAATACAATAGAAACAAACAAAAAATAGATTTGCCATACCAAACAAGACAGTTAATGATCTGTCTCCAAACTGACCATAATGCTTTAATCAAAGGCCAACTCCAACATGTATCACACAACACTGCATAAGGAAAGAAAAATAGATTCCTGACTTCTGCATGGGTAAAAGGACCACCACAAGTACAACTGTGAGCAGAGTTCTCCTGTGATTGTTCTCCATCCCACCCAACAGACTGCTTGCATGAAGGAGAACAAGAAAATCAGGTCTTTAACCATAAGTTAATGCTCACAAAATTATATTCTAAATTTGTGCACAAGTGTGTGCAGAAGATGAAATGCTTCTCTCTAATTAGAGAACAGCTGATCTATTTTTCTCTTTAATGCCAGTACTTTTTAGACAACATAGGATAGTGCCAATGTAAACATTGGCAGAACTTGCAGTAGAATACTGCTTTAATAATTAGGACAATGTACAAGTTGTGGTCTTGAAGTGCAAATACCCTCGTGGCATCACACTCTAAAACCCATGAATTACAGTACAAAAATGAAATTTGGGTACAAGGAAGCCAAGCAGATATATTCCCTTACTAGGAGGGCAGTTGAGATCTTGACTTACTCGCCCACAACTGCAATCTATTGTTTGCTCGCTAGGCGGCAAAGCAGGGCCCTTGTCCAGAGCAGAGAGAACATCTGAACTCGGGAGTGACAAACCAGCCCCTCCAACCCCGTTACAATCACACGGAGTTCTTGCAGTCACCTTGTAATGAACCCAGTCAACAGCATCTCTGACATCCTGGAACATACTCCTGAAGGACATGAAGAGGTCTCCATCCTTAAATCCTGTTTCACAGCTGTGAGGAGACAGAAGAGACATTCTAGCAGCCAGTCACACCAGGTAAGAAGCATACCAAGAAGTTAGACAGTTCAAAATGCTGTTTGCAGCTTGTATTTTCATCTTACCATCATGGTTTCTTATCTGCTACTTTACTGCAGCTCAGACTTGAAAGAAGGTTACAACCACAGTTTAACAGGAGCTGTGTGTTACCCAGGAATGTCTGTGCCTCCACAGCAGTACTACAGCTTTCTGTGACTGTAACTCTTACTTTTCACCCACAATACAAGAAGATAAAAAGACTGCAGAAAATTGCAAAAATGCTGTTTGCAGCATTCAAGAGAAGATGAATGAAAAGAGGGAATAAACAGAGTGGTGCTCCTTCTCCCTCTTTCTAGCACTAAAGAAAGGAGAGTCCTGGAAATCAACTAAATGTAATGCTGCTAAGAAGAGGAACTTCTATGTTGAACACTTATAATTAACATTAGAAATTACAAGATACTCTGGAGGTATCTTTGAGACAGCATGACAGCTTGCATCAGAAGAAATCAAGAAGGATTACACAGAGCTGTATTTATTATGACAGCAATCATCGTGCCTCTTCTGAGAAAAGGTACTTCACCTGATGGACTGCTAGCATAAACAGTTCCTCTGCTCCCAGGTGAAATCACATTAAAACTTTGCCTTCCACTCAAATATATGCAAAGATGACCCACCACATGAGATGATGAGCAGCACAGCAGCATCACATTTGCCAGTTCAAACCACAGCTTGTTTTCATGCTTATATGTTTTTGAAAGCAGTAAATGCTCAGGCTGCACAAACAGCCTTTTATACTACACTGAGCACTTCACCTCTAATGTGCAATGTCCTTTATTGCAACATCAAGCACTTGTGGTAACAGGCTGAGGAAATTCAGCCTTCCAGTTACCAGGCTCCAACGGACACAGGTTCAAAATGAACTGAATGGTGCCTGTAATCACCTTGTAAAAAGTATGCAGTCCTAGAAGCTGCCCCAAATACCAATGTCAGTCAGTATGTTGGTACTGCTGTACCCTGTGAAGGAAGCCTTCATAACCGGCCTCTGCTGCACACACAGATCAACTTAGCACCACAAAATTATACGAGGTCCACCAAAACCACTTGAGGGGCCTCCACTGATATTAAGAGCAGCTCCATCTGTGCTGTACTGCTCTTGTATAAAATAATAACAATCTTAGTGTTCCATCATCATCTCAAAGTGGAAGGAATACAAACCTCGTGTACCGGTCACAGTTAGTAAAGAAATCCACCAGGCAAGCCAGCAGGTAGGTCTCTGCAAGAAAGCAGAGTGAGATTTTTAAGACAAGGATAACATCATACAGCCAGCTAACTTTAGACCTTGTGCCCAAAGGAAGAAAATTCATGTAAAAAAAACCCAAACAGAGAAGCAGAGTACGACATCAGCAAAGCTTTATTGACTCAAAAAGCACAGAAAGAGGCCTGTGTTGGCTCACATTACTCACCTGGTAGATTGAATAATGTGTTCAAAATGTAAAACCTATCTGTGTCATCCCTCTGGATAAATTTATTTGGATATTGCTCCCGTGTTTCAGGCCTGAGAATAAAAAAAGAGGAGAAGAGTGAAACCACAAAACATAATGAAGATAAAATGTGCTGACCTGCAAAATGGAATTGTAGCAGGGTCCACTAACCAAAGTCTGCTGTGCTTTAATCAACACCCAGCTTCCCCACATGCACTGTTGGCACAAGAGCAGAAATGCATCCAGGGGTGTTCCCTGGGCCATGCTGACTCCAGCAGAGACAGGACAAAGCTCTAATTGCTGAGCCAGCAAACTGAGCAGAGCCCACACAGGGACTCAGAGTGGTCCAGAGTCCACAGGTCAACCTTAAGCCCCATGCTGCCAGCTAGGAAGATGCTTTAAATCATCTGCACTTTCATCGTTTGCTTATCTTAAACTCTCCCCCATTTTCCATGTGTTGCTCTCCACTCTCCCAGCAGATTTTAGCCAGGGGCATGCAGGGCTCTGCTGAAGGCTTGCTTGGGGCAATTCATCAGCAGGGTGGCAATGACCGAACTCATATCATTATTCTGGTCTCCTTAACTTCTGGAGCTACTAAAGATCATTTTATGCTCAAAGAGGAACTTGAGTGCACATATAAGGGCTTTTTTCTAATTTTTGGAGTCCTGATGCAAGGACTTAGAGGCCTGCAATAACAAGGTTTGTCATCCTGAAGCCCCTGAGCTTGCCTTGTCTTCCATTCATACGCCCTTGCAGAAGCAATGTGGAAAGAGGGATTTGCTGGGACTCACCAGGAACATGGCACTGCAGTCCTTTCTGCTTCCTAAAGCACCTTCTCTGGGACAAGAAACACAAGCAGCCAGGGAAGGCTGCAGGAAACGGCGTGCAATGCTCAGTTCTGACACCCTCAAAGGTCAGAAACACAAAGGGGTAGAGCAAGACTGCTCCTACCCCAAGCCAGCTCAGGCCCTCACACTTTCTTAGCAATGGCTGTGGAGCTGACAGTCTCATGGGGCACAGGTCCACATGCAATGGATTTGTCTTGACTGACAAGCTGCTGATGTTAAACTGTGGCAGGACAGGTGAACAACCCTTGAATGATCCCATCAGCTCTTCCCCACAGCACACGTTCCTCTATTCCTAGCAAGCTATGGATGTGCCTGCAGTGGCACAGCCCTTTCCCTTGTAAACATCAGGGCTGTTGCTGTACCTGAGACCCTCAATTCATCCACATCCTGGAGCTGTAGGAACACCAACACAGCTTCTGCTGTTAGCAGAGTCCCTGCAACTCCATATACAATGGGTGCCCTGAGGATCGCTGACACAATAGAGTGTATTAAGTGAAAAAGAACAGCCAAGAGTCTGCACTCACCCTCTGAGGAAATTAAAGCCATGTGCACATACTAGGAGGTTCCCATAGGCATCAACTTTCAGCAAATTTCCATAGTGGGTGTCAAACACCAGGCCTCTGTTAAGAAAGCAATTTAGGATGTGAAAAGGCAAGTGCATTAAGGGGTGACCATTTTAACAGCAGCTAGAACAGCCCTAGAACACTTTTGCTCACTTGGCATGGGGCATCAGAACAGAGCTGGTGTTATGATGCAGATGGGGTCCCTACTGTCCCTTTTAGCTGGCAGCAGGTGAGCAACCAGAGCCCAGCATGGCCAGGCAGGAGAGACACCTGACCTACTCCCCATGGCCCCTGAAGTGTTTAACCCAAGAGGCTCAGCTGTGCATCTACCAGTGAGCTGTGGGCTCTTCCACAGGGTCACAAACCTGACACCCTTGTGGGGCTGCAGGGAACAGTGAGGTGTGATAAAGGAATTTCTCTCTGCTTTTTCATGGCTCTGTCACAGACATTACCAGATGGGGCGTGTAACCACGGCACAATGCTTTGGACATGCCCAGTTCTGACTCTGACAGAATTCTGTCTCATTTATCTAGCAGCTTGCATCTGGAGAACACAGCCTTCCCACAAAGACATCCCTTCTGTCCCCTTCCTGGGATGGAGGTAGTCGATTTAACAGAGCTCTCATCACAGGTTTGTGAGGGCTGCGCTTGTTACAGGCAGGGGCACAGCCAGCAGCAACTCTTGATGTAAAACATGCTGAGAGGAGGGAAAGAAGGAGGCTGCCAGACTGAAACTGGAACAAACCAACAGACCCTCTGGTCCAGTCTTTTGTAAAGAAACTCCAAAGCAGTCAAAGAAGCAAAATCCAGCAAAGGCACAAGTGGGAAGAACTTGAAGGTGCAGAGCTAGATCAAACGCTGTTCAAAACGAACAATGCCCTTTTTTATCTCTCCCACCAAAAGACAAAATATAGAATTAATAACTTTGCACCATCAACTTAGTGCAAAGTCATAAAATCAGTAAGTTACTAAATCAAATGCTTTTGACGTTTGACTCATCTTGACAAAAGAACTGGATTGGTCCCACTTCTATTCTTGTTTACTGTCAGCTTAATTTTCAGGATGTCTTATGCACAACGACACTGCTAATTAAAATCATTAAAGAAAAATGTTCTGAGACATCCCGGCAGCCTCTTAGACAGTAATGGCTCCTTCTCCCCCTGATTCTGATTTCACTCCCAATCCAATTGTGTCTCTGCTGTCTTTGCTTTGAAGGGCTATTTTTGGACCATGTTTTCAGAAGGGTTCTTTTATTGCACACTCCTTCATTGCTGGCAAGGGTTCATGTGAGCAAAGGCCCCTCACATACTGGATTAGTCTTTTCCCTTTCCCATGATGTGTGGCCAGACACTGGCTTCACATCCACAACTGAAAACCTGGCCTCACATGTCACCTGTGAACTTCACGGAACAAGTATTGGAGGCCTCGAGCAGGCAGGGTCAGTATCTGTTAGTCATTTACCTGGTAGGGAATGCAGGATCATACACAAAATTGAGCAGCTCATGAGGGTATCCAATGGAAACTAATCTTTCTACGGTCAGGTCAAATCCAAGAGATTCGTATTCAGGGGATTTATACACTGTACCAAGATGAGATTTCAGTTAGAAAATTTGAAAACAGCTAGGGGGTTAAACAAGAAGGCAATTAAAAGTAATATACCCATTCTCCCTCCTCCCTCCTCCACATACCATTCTCTCCTTGGATGCCTGAGGTCCCCCAGCCCAGAGCAGGGCAGAATTAGCTCCTGCCCCAGGGCTGCAGTGAAGCAGAGCTGCAGTTTGAATTTCAGCAGCAGAGTGCACCAGAAGAAATATCCATCAGTTTATCATAGCTCTCTGCATCAGGAAGAATGTATTTCAAACAGCAGCTCCTCTCTCTGCAGTCCCGTTAGGCAGATGCATGAACACTCCCTGTTCCATCTGCTCCAACAGGGCTTTGGTTTGCTGTGTTTTTTGCAAAGCCGATAAAGAAACCAATAAATTGTGGGAGCATATGTATTGGAGGTCATCACTTCTGTGCTACTGTTACTGCTCTGGATACAATCTCAGGGGAATTAATGTTTGCTGCAGACTAAATTAGCATGAAGGTAGAGCTGTCAAGTTAACATATGATTTGTTTGTTAATAACACCATGTGGTACTGCAAAAAATCTGTTCATTATTACCCTTGTGCATCAAAATGCTACTTTTTTAAGCAAGCTCACTGCTCTCACATGTCAGAGGAGCTGCTCATCTGGGACACACATCTTCCCTTCACTCCATGCAAAAGAAATGGACTTGTTCAACTAAGTCATTCCTACCATGCGGCCTCGCTTCTTCCTGCAAATGACCTTCCCATGTACTGAAAATGTAACTGTTTAATCAGATCATTAAATTACATCTAAAAGGCAATCAGGACAGATGGAAATCACAGGGTTTCTCTGGCAGCATATTTACCCTCGCTGCATGTCTGCAGAAGCCCAGAAGATAAGGGGCTAATGTGCATGTTTCAAACACTGAGACAGCTGGACAGTCCTGAAGCTGACCAAGGATTGTTGGTAATAACAGCCAGGGATTGTGGTAATAACATGTTGTGAGAAAGAACAGGATGTGGCTGGAGAAGGGGGTTATGTGGAGGTAAGAGCAGCACTTTTCTGGGGTAAATGTCCTTGTTCTGGCTCCCAGAGATAAGCACAGCACAGGTCAAGTGAAGAAATGGGGTCGAGAAGTGGGCATGGACTTTATGGGGGAGATCAAGACCACCTAAGACCCTCTGATCCATTTTCTGAAAGGTCTGGAAGAATGGAGTGCACATGGTAACTAATTTCCATAGAAAGCAAGAGCCCTGTTTTCAAGGTTGGGAAAACTCATCTAGGAAAAGATACCCCCACAAAGCCCAGGCGTGCGTGTGCCCCAGGACACTGGACCCCATCAGTGCTGCTGCCAGGACTGCTGATCTCTTTTTCTCTCTTTCTTCCTTTCTCTCTCTCTTCCCCTCTTTAATCTTTTTCTCTCTTCCCTTTTACCCTACCCCTTTATCCAAATCTCACTGCTGTGTGCTTATACTAAAAGGTCAGGGATTAACATACTAATTTTCATGTCAAGTGTAATTTACTAATAAAACTTTGTAAGCTTCTGTGGACCCTCTGACTTTCGTTGTTCCTTTCAACCATGAGCATCTACAAATCCTGGGTGCTCCCTTGCACTTAGAAGTGAAACACCATAATGTTGCTGTCTTAAACTGGTCCTAAGGTAAATAAATACAACCCTTGACTGCAGTGAGGGTTACCATGGGTTCAATGGGTCCAACTGCCTCCAATGCTTGAATATTTCAAATTTAGCTGAAAATGTGCCAAGTTACACAGTAAACTCATAAGAGGATAGACTGCTTTTCCTGAAAGAGATCTAACACATCTGTGAGCCTCATGATATATATTAATACACATTGTCTATACTGCCCAGTAATCACCAGCATATATATACACAGTGGGATACAGAAGTTTAATCTGAGAGGGGAAATAAAATATATAAAATACTAAGAAAAATATCAAAAGGCAAAGATTTTAGATGAAACAAGACTGTCAGAAAACTGAGATCACAGTACCCATGACAGAGGGCTTCTGTTCCTCTTAATAACCTAAAAAGCACCAGAATCCCAAGAGTTAATGTTCCCCATTAAGCTAACAGCATTAAAAATGTAATAAGCAAACCTGTACCAGTCTTACACAGATAAGTAAAATCAGTAAAGCAGTTATCAAAATCTCCAAGCAATATTATACCAATGGCAAACATCAACAACATGATACAACATTCAATGCACGTAGTCTTTTCTATCCTTTAGGAAAGGAAGGATTGATTGACCTATAGATAGGAATAAGCAATCAAACAGTACAGCTAATGAAGAAAGCAGTGACTGACAAGGCAATTCTGGGGAGTGAGCTAGAGCTGGAGGGAGCAATAGGCAGTTAGGTGATGAACAAAATTGTGAGAGTGACACCAGAGCATCATCTGGAACAAGGAATTCCTCTGTTTCAGGACAGTAAAGGCACTTCCCAGGGAAAACTCTTGTAAGTACACGTGCACATATTCTCAGAATGTGAAAGCTCTGCAAAGCTCCCTGTTAGGAGAAACAGACTCCAATCCCCAGCTCTGTCCATGAAGCTGCTGCACTCCTCCTTCTTAGCCTCCTGGGAAATTGACCATGCTACCAACTTAATCCATAATACATCACTTCCAAACAAAACACTTCTCCAAGGAAACCTTGGTCTTTCTGAACTCACCAACCATGGTGATGCAGCCCAGACAGGAACCTGGGCAGGAGCACACTGGCATCCCCTCTGGACAAGGAGAAGTGATTCATCAACAGCTCCAGCAGAGCCTTTCCAGGGAAATTGTAGGGCTTTTTGATGAGCAATCTGTGTATCTTTTTAAGTCTCCACCAGGGAACAGCTGTGTGGGACACAAGGTCAGCTGCTCACAAAATATCCTCACTCAATTTCTTTCTGCATTTGCCTCTCCATCTTAGGAAATCACCACAGAACTCCTTTTAACTCTCCAAGAAAACAAGCTGAAGCACCATTAAGAAAAAGGTATCAACCTCAGCCTCCATCATCCCAAGTCTCTGATGAGGCAGTACATTAATTAGGATTAATCTACATGTTTCTTTAGGGGGGACAGTTATTCCCCTTACCTCTCAAGCCCTAGATTTTGCTTCCTTGATGTCTCTTTGAATAAAATTAAACTATTAGCTCATTCATGCCTCAGATCCCATCTCTCTATTTTTCTTCTACTCCACAATATCTGGAAAATGAGAGCCTTCTCCTTGACACATGAACTAAACAGAGACACAGGAAACTGGATTTGTGAAAGGGACAATAAATGTTCTCTAGTTACCAGCATACTTACTGTTCCAGATAAACTTTCCTTTAATTAGACACACAGCTGGGAATGAGAGCTCCCTGAGCCCTCCCTGACAGCATCCTACACCACAGCACTGGCTGCATCAACTGGAGCCACAATCCCCTGACATTTCTCACAAGCCTATTTGAGTAACTGGAGCTTCCTCTGGGCAAACAACAATCCACCTCTTCAGATGAAGAATGGACAGGCTGACATCACTGCAACTGTGTGGCAGCACATTTGGGGAAGATGCCCCAATTACAGGTGTTTCTCCATTATTTCAATATTGTACTCAGGGCTGGTTGTTCTCTCTCACGTCTTCAGGCAGCCGTGAGGAAACAGAGTAGAGAGGACGGATCAATACTTTTTTTTTCTCCAGCTGCAAGATGAAAACATGGTTTTAAACTTTGCTGGAATATCTCCTCCTTCAGACCTGGTTGCTGAATCCTGGTACCTCTGATGGAGATAGTTTGTGTGTCATGGCAACGTCATGAACTCAGCTATTTGCCATCCCATGCCCAGCTCTTTCACCCAGCTGAGAAGGGCCCAGTCTTTGAGCATTCCCAGCTCTGTGACAGGGGAGGAGGCAGAGCCACAAACACATTTTTACACTGTCGTTGCCCAGAACACATGGGATGACAGTAAAACCAAAGCACGTGCTACAACTTGTTCTGATTTATTTTTTTTACTGCTTGATGGCCATGTCTCTGCCACAAAGGCAAGTCTCCAGCTCCAGAGGAATTGTTATTTTAATAGTACTGTTCCAACACAGGCAAATGCTACAGCAGCACAGGGCAATCAGCACCCAGTGCTCATGGATTATGCAACCAGGGTGGAAAGAAAACAACTGAAGTTTTTTAAAAAACAGAAGCCAACTTCCTCTTAATACCATTACTTGGCTTATCAATAGACCATTAAAAGGTAAAAAGCAGTACCCCAGAGTGAACACTGCAAGCCTTCAGGTCTGTGATGAGTGAGGGCATCCCTGACTGACACAGGACGTGCTAGGAGGGAAGCTGGTCTGGAATGAGCAGGGGTTGTGCAGTAAGGTATGCAATTCTCATGCATTTGTGTGGTTGTGTTTACCTTTGCTGCCAAGACACATACAGTTACAATTTTATAGCCTTCCTGAAAAGGAAAAAAAAAATAAAGAAAAAAAAAAAAACTCTCTACAGAGGCTCCTGCTTATGCAAAATGCTGCTGCCAGGATTTTAACTCACATGAGGCAGATGCAGATTCAGAGTGTCACTCCAGGCTTGACGGAGTTACACTGGGCTCCCCTGTTAAAGAAAAAAATCAGACTGATTTTAAAACTGCAACAGCTCTGTGCCATGTGGGACTGTGTCTGCTGGAGCTCCGTCCTCTGGCAAGCTCAGAAGCTGGCCTGGCAGTTATTCCAAATACACTTACAACTGATTTATAGAAGAGGCACAGTTGGTAATCGTGCATCCTGCAGGCAAAATTCTGTCCTCATATCCACAAAGCAGTCTTACATCATCAGCTCAGGGATAATTAGGAGAAAGGGGCTACAAGCACATTGCCCAAGTGATACAAATCCTCCATGTTCCTCTCGGACACAGAGAAACTAATTCAAGAAAAGGTCTAGTGCTCTTTTTGGGGCTTTGCTGTTGTGGTCCACTCCTCAGTCAGTGGTAAATTACTCCTTTCAGGACATTCTCTCTCACACCATACAATGCCTGCACGAGTCAATGCAGGATACTTGGGAGACTGAGTCAGGAGCTACTCTGGGAACCTGAGAATAGAATTTTGCCCTACACCTTGAAGGTGCTCCCAGTGAGAGCCTCGCACACCGGGTCAGTCTGTGGTGCATGTCTGCATTTAAATGTACACTTGGACACGACTTTGCTTGGGCTTTCATGGGCAAAGCACCGCAGGATAAACCAGCACCAAACCTGCACAGAGCTGCACTGCAGTGCTCCCACTGGCAAGCACACACAGGGAGAACACCAGAGATATTTTGCAACTTACAGGTATGCACAGAGTAATCAAGAATTATCTTTGAGATCCAATTTGCACTAAATACAAAGCTGAACTGGTTGGAATGATGTTGCAAAAATGACCCACAGAAGTATGCAGACCTCCTGGAAGGCTTCTCTGAAAATAAACGCTTAAAGCCTGTTTTGTTTCAAAATGAATAGCTGGGGAAGGCTGAAGTGCATGTGATGGCTCTGTTAAGCCCTTTAGGGGCTGCTGGTATCTTCCCTTGTTTCTCCTACACACACAAATTCAGGCAGGGGAGCTTCTCATTGAAGATATAACACGGTTTGTTCCAGGGCTTGCCAACACTTCTTGCAGGGTACACATGGATCTTGGGAGAGAAGCAGGAGTTGAAGCTAAAATAATCACCCCTTTCTGCACTGCTACAGTTGTCTCCCATTTGTGAGATTTGTGTCTCAAACTGCACACCTCCAAGCAGTCCTGCCTGCCATTTTATTTCCAATCACTATGGATTTGGTATTGGTAAAAGCCCTGAATTTGGAACAGTGACAATACACTGATTTCCCATATCACCAAGGCAGCTTTGAGAAAGCAGCTCCCCTTCACCAGAACCCTCATTTAGGAAATGAAAAACAAGCTCAGGAGGTTGCTGCAACAAAAGCCTGCAGGGAGAGCAGCTTCTCTAGGCAGAGAGGCAGAGCCAGGACCACTACATGATGACCTGAAGTATCATTTGCACTTCCTCTGGTTTTTCCCCATCTGTTGCTCCCTTATGACACCCTACCACCTCCTGAAGGAGTTTCATCCCTTCCATCTGCCAGTTCCTCACCTGCCTTTCCTCCCAGCTGGAAGGCAAGAGCAGCCCAGGGAAAGGTGCTTGTGATGTCCCCCAAAACAAACCCACATTGTCAGGGCACTGCAGGGGAGCAGCTGCTTCCCGCAGGTGGTGCATCCCTGCTCTGATCCCTTGGGCACACACTGTCTCAACTCCTTCCTCAGGCAGGTGCTGAGAGCACTGTGCTGTTGACTTTCAGGTGTCCAGATAAGATCAGTATTTCTTAAACTAGAGGTGATGACCTCCTCCAAAAGGGTTGCAAAAAGCTCTACCAAATACTCAATCTCCACAGATGTTACCCACTCTCTGGTGGTCACACAAAGACAGATAAACCAAAATGTAGACAGATAATGTACAGGGTTTCACCTTTTCTCTGAAGCACAGGAAATGCAGCCCAACTACTTTGTGTTAAGTCTTGATGAAATGAAAGTAAATAACTAAAAACAGTTTTTTTCAGTTGCTGCTTGTTCTCTAGTGAGTAAGGCATGCAAATCAGGCAGTTAGGGACATACATGGGCAGGTGGAGAGCTGGTATCCAGAGTTACATGTCTCAGGCACAACATGCATAATTAGGCTTGAACAAATATATTTCTGAAATTACACAAACCTGACTTAAAGAGCAGGGTCAAAATGTTGCTCTGAATTGCACCACAATTAAGTAATGTGTAGTGGGTTTGGTTCGCCAAATATGCAAGTATGTATTAGGAATAGATTTATATCAGTGTTGTACTGACAAAAATTGCTTAGTTAAAGCCTTGAGGACTGAGATCCCCTTTTACAAACCCATTCCCTGTAACAGTACGAATATCTATGTATCCTGCCTCAACAATGTCTATCAAATGAGATCCTAGTGTCTCAGAACAGGATAGATCTATCCACAGAGCTCTCCATTCTGCCAGTATCTCCTCTGCACATGGCCCCAAAGCCAGGCACTTAGTGTCCACCACACTGTGTCTGTGACAGTCACCCCTTCACAACAACCACACCACTGGCTATTTCACACAAACTCCAAATACTCATCCCCTGGCACTTCTGATCACCTGACCTGTAACTCCAGCTGAGAATCCAGAGGGAATCAGCCAGTGACCAGTTCTGGAGGTGTCTGGGACACTGGACTTAATTAAAAACCAAACCCCACTGAAATAACAATACCAATTAAATATACTTCTAAATATTGGGCAAGCATTTCACATACTGCCATAGTATGAGGAAAGTCTGTCTCAGCTGTGGGACCAGAGTTTGCAGATCCCCAGAAGTAACCAAGTAATGAGGAATGCTATCTGACTTCTACACACTGACCCTCCTTTCAGGGTATCTTATCTTCAAAATTTGTTACAGAGCAATGCCACTTTTCATACACAAGTGGAAAAGAGGAGGATTTCTGCTCCAGCATGTGTTACAGGGCCTTTTCTAACCAGGCAGGTATTGTCAGGCACTGCCACTGAAATGTAACAAAAGGGGAATGCTAAGGTTTCTCAAGCTATGCTGCTCTCCATGTTAAAATAATTCATTACTTACACAGGAAGGAATCTGAAATGTCATGTTTAAGTTTCACACCTGGCTGTTAACTACCCTCAGTTTTGACAGTGCAGTCAGACTGCTCAGCTCTGATGAGAGCCCAGACTCACGCTTGGCTTGCACAGCCTGGCAGGGTGCTGTCACTTTGCACTGGAAATAAAGCTGAGGATTTTCTTTCCCATGAGAAATAGAAACCCTGCAGAGGTACCTGTACTGTGGGACGCTCTGTAGAAACACTCAGCTGGCTTGGCAATCCCAGGAATGGGGGATAAGCACAGACCTCCAGATCCCCTTGCCTTGCATCTCTCTTTCCAATGACACATCAAGTGTTACCTCCAACTCCTGCCACAGCCACTTGAAAGCATTTTACTTCACAGCATATTCACGGGACATGAAGGGGAAAACACTCCTATTTAAAGCTCTGGTGTGTCCAGCAGCAGTTTGGGTCATCTCTGCCCAGATAAACATGTGCCCTGTGTGCAGGCAATGGAGTTGAGCACCTTCGTGCTGTGCTGGCCTGGGAGCTCAGTGCCTGTAAACAAACTGACAAAGTGGAAACGTGCCTGTTTGCAACCACAAGAAATCCCAAATGAAACCCATGGGACGACTCATATGTTTTCAGTTAGGAACATGGTGAACTTCTGACTTGCCATTTGTTTATGAACTCAGCTGAACTGTGACCATAAAGGGTTTGTCTACAGTCAAAATGAGTTGAAAAGCAATTAGGAACAGACTCCAGTCCTCTTGACTCCTGGGGTTTGATTTTAAGCACTAAACCATATATAAAAATGCACAGTACTATGGAAAGCAGAATTACAGCACTTAAGCCTATATTTAAATTGACTTTTCACAATACCAAACAAACTGAGTAGCAATTTATTATCTGAATTTTTAATTTCTCAGTCCAAATGAGAAGAAACTGCTGCTATATTGAGTATAATTTTTCACTTACCTGTAGTAACCTTTTCAAACACAGAAGTGACCTGTGCAGTAAGACAAAGCCTAGCTTTAAAGCACAATATTTAATGTGCCTTTTCTATTTCACTAAAATTTATGTATTTATAGTTATCAGCAAACAATACCTTGACAAAACCTCCAGGTGCATCCCAGAATAGTTTTCTATGCTTAACACATAAGATGCTCTGCCCTGTGTGAGCAGCCATATCTTGCACAGCACTTTCGTGCCCACAGATGTTTTTGACAGTAAATCTGATAACAGAAACTAAGGCAAGGGTCACTAATCATCAGAGGGTTGAATCTTTTGGATGTGAGCTTCACTGGCTGCACAGCACCCTTTTCTGATGATGCCAAACACGGGGCTCTGGGTGGAAAGCAGAGCTCCCCTACAGAGCAGCACCAGGGCTCTGCAGTCCCCAGCCACAGCAGAGCCCATAAAGCAGCGATGCACCCGCTGCAGCTTAAGAGCAGTGGAAAATTCCTTACCTCTAATGCTCCTGCAAACATCCCCAAGTGCACAGCACAGCTTTCAGCTCTAAAACCTCTAACCTGGAACTGTATCAGCTCCTCTTCTTCTGCTGTGCATGCTAACAGGGTGTGTAAAGACAGGATTTGTTGTTACTTCAAGGACTGAGACAGCACTGTATGTGCAGCCTGGCTGTGATTTGCTGGGTCTATACTTCAGGTTGTTTCTAGTGCTGCATTTTTATTTGTATTAAAAACAAGTGTTGTCAAGTATCATCAGCTTTAACTCTCCCCAAAGTAGGCTTATTAGTGCTCTCATTGGTAAATTCCAGATATTTTTAGCTCTCTGCTGCTGCACTTTGTTTGCCTTCGATGTAACAAAGATTTGGGTTGTTTGAATATGCCTCAGAGGCTGGCAGAGCGGAGCTTAGTGTTGGAAAGATTTCTTCTGCTGAATAAAAATGAATGGCTTGAGGTAAGAACAGCAGCACTGAGGTCACATTGTGCATGTTGAGAGAAGCAACTCAGACAGACTTTGTATTTCAA